TGCTGCGATTTTTTCTTGGGAAGACCTAAGAACGCCATTGTATAAGGAGAGTGATTATTCAATGTAAAGATAAGTGAGGATGTGCGAGCTCCAGAGCAGTTAGGAGGAGATGAGGCTATTTATAATCCTCTAAGTTAGGATCATTCAGTGATATGGGCATTTTTTTCCCTTGTCACTTGTCATTCTGTTAAACAGCTGGTTGCTTGCAGGATCACGCTGTGTGGGGGAGTGGGATGCTGATGCTATAGTCCTGTCTCAGTGGGTCTCGCTGAGCACGTAACGCTGTTACCAAGCTGCCATTGTAATTTTGGTGATGTAAAGCGGCATGCGAATACTACCCCTTCGGGAATAGTTCCCGGGGCCGAAGCCGCCCAAAACAGCTACCAGAATCGCCCGATTCGGCGTCTTCGGCCCCTAAAGGTATATTCTATATGTAAGAATAGAGGACTTTATTCTAGTAAATAAGTATAAGAATTAAGAATAGTAATGGTAAGATCTAAGATTAGGAGATAAGAAGGCAGAGAGTAGGTATAATAGAATAGTTAATAGAGAGTTGTCACGGGCTAGAAGCCGGTCAACCTATGACCTAGGTTTGGACGGTAAGAAATCGCTAAGGGGTTCTAACTAGGGCCGCAACGGCCGAACAAGAAAAGATGTGTGCGAGGTCACGTGACTTGGTGAACTCGTGATATCGTTGGTGCCTAAGGCAGCTCGCGAGTGCCGATAGGCTCGAGCATACAGCGGGCCTTGCCCGCTACAAGAGTAATTTTAATAAGATATAGGAGCCTATAAAGCTAGTTAATAGTAGAAAATAAGAAAAGAAATAGTATAGTAATAGGTATTTAGTAATAGTAAGGTTAAAGATAATATAAAGATGCAGCGGTAGTATAAAGATAGAGAGGTTAAGGTAAATTTAATAGGGTATAGGAGCCTGTGCATAGCAGCTAGAAGAGGAAGGCAGTACAGCAGACTAAGCAGTAGAAGTGTAAGGGGCCAAAGCCCTTTTTATTGAATCTAACGATATCAACCAAAGAATTGGATTCGTTGGAGGGAGAAAGGGAAAACAGAGAGAGATGCCCACGAAGATGGGGATCGAATAGGCGAACACAAAGAGAGGCACGTGATGTCAATAACAGTCACGTGAGGAACACGACGCGCAGGCCGAAGCCAAGCAACATCCAGGCGTAGCCTGTGACAAGAAGCACCTTAAAGTGTGAACTTCACCTAAGCACATAATTATATAACTATATGATATATTAATATCCTTAGTATATGGTATTCGCTATCCCTCCTATAGTATTCGATATCCTTACTATATAAGGATTCGATATCCCTACTATATAAGAATTCGATATCGATACTATGGTATTCGAAATCCTTAGTATATAGTATTAGTATTCAATATCACTATTGTGGGTGTGTGGTGTTCCCTACCTATGGCGTGGGTATATGTAAAGATTGTAAAATTTCGATGTGTCTTTTTGTACAAATAGTCCGCCGTACCAAAGGCATTAGTGCCTAATTTGGGTTGCTAACCAAATCACGTGCGCCTCAATTGCACCCCACCTTGGGATTCAGTTATCCGTGCCTTCGTTTTTACCCAACCCGCTTCCACCGAGGGTTAGGAAGAGGTATATTAAGGTAAGGAGCGTTTGATTAGAGGGGTGAGGCTGTGAGCACACTAGGGGAAAAGTGGCATTTTATATACATGTGACTACTCTAGGTAAAAGAGAGGGGAGCTAGATTTAGCTGCAGAGGGGAGCTATTTCTAGCATTCATTATTTTACTTATGAGTGGAAATGGGGAGAATAACTTATTAAAGTTAAGCGCCAACATTATTAACTAACGTAATCCCCAACCGAGCAGCACACCCAACAGAGCGGCACGCAGTTTCGGCCACCTCAGCTCCTTCGCCCCTGACTTGCTTCGCAGAGCCAGACAACCATTATCATGCCACAAAAGACTGCAGATCCAGTGATCAAATCAGAAGATCGAATACAGCTTGCACTAAAAGCATTTAAGAATGGCCAGTTCAAAAGTATTCGTGCCGCAGCAGCAGCATATGACGTTCCCTACCGCACACTTACATACCGAATTAACGGTCGAAAATCACGGACTGATATACCAGCAAACTGCCAGAAGCTTAGCAATCTTGAGGAAGCTTCTTTGAAGAAATGGATCCTTGATATGGATGAGCGCGGCCTACCACCAACTCATGCTACCGTACGCAAGATGGCAGATTTATTACTTTCTCATCAGAAACCTGGCACATCAACTGGAAAGAACTGGGTCAGCAACTTTATCAAACGGCATGATGATCTTATATCAAAATACACCCGCAAATATGATTATCAGCGTGCAAAATGTGAGGATCCAGAGATCATCAAACAGTGGTTCAACGTAGTCCAGAATACTATAGTAAAATATGGTATTCTTGAACAGGATATCTACAACTTTGACGAAACTGGCTTCCAAATGGGTGTGGCCTCTACAGCAAAGGTCATTACTGCGTCACGTCATCGAAATAGCTGTGTACAAGCTATACAACCAGGAAATCGCGAATGGGTTACTGTCATTGAATCTATCAATGCTTCTAGATGGTCTCTTCCCCCTATGATTATCTTCTCTGGCAAGGTCCATCAATCTTAATGGTATGAAGATATTGACCCTGAATGGCTGATTGGTCTGAGCGATAATGGATGGACCAATAATGAGCTTGGATTAGTATGGTTGGAAAAGGTCTTTGAAAAGCATACTGCGCAGCGTACGCTAGGGAGACACTGGCTTCTGATTCTAGATGGCCATGCTAGCCATGAATCTGCAGAGTTTGATCTTTTCTGCAAGAATCATTATATCATCCCTCTTTATATGCCTTCTCATTCATCTCATAAGCTATAACCACTTGATGTTGGCTGTTTTGCACCTCTAAAGGAGGCATATGGCATGCAGGTGATGAGCAGCATTCAAAAGGGCATTAATCATATTGATAAGGAGAACTTTCTGACACTTTATAGAGAAGCACGAAAGGCCTTATCGTCCAAAAATATCCGCAGTGGATTTAAAGCCTCTGGTCTTGTTCCATTGAATTGCCAATGGGTGTTGGATAAGCTTATTATCAAGCATATTACACCACCATCTACTGCCCATAGGCCTTCAGATCAGGAATGGACTGCAAAGACTCCTTATACAACTGCTGAGGTACAAAAGCAGATGCACCTCATTAAACGACTGATCAATCACAACTCTGAAAGTCCTCTAAATGAAGCAATCCGTCAGCTAGCAAAATCGGCTGAATGTACCATGCATAAAGTCCTCCTACTAGATCAGGAGGTAAAGGAGCTTCGTGCAGCAAATGAGGTACAAAAGCGAAAGCGTACAGCCCCCAGATCTTTTATTGCTACTGGGGGCGTTCTGACAGGGTCTGAAGGTCAACAACTTGCTCAAGAAGCAATACAGAGAATGGGCTTAGAGGATCCGATTCCTAGAAAGCGTGCGCCACCACGATGCAGTAACTGCCATCAAATTGGTCATATTAGAACCAGCTGCCCTAGTAGATAATACAATTCTTTTATGTTTGAGAAAAGGCTTTCATTTTATTGCGTAGTTGTAAGATATTTCATGGTTCTCCAACCATGGTCAAGATCGTGTGCCGTTCGGTTGGGTGTGCTGCTCGGTTGTGGATTACGTTAGCTTAGGAGGGTGACTAAAAGTGCTTAGTGGGTGTAGAATAGTAGTACTAATATAGGTAGTGGGTGGTTAAATAGCGGCTCACTGCTGGAGTTATGGGTGGAAGGCAGCTGTTTCTGGCCTTGAAAGTAGCTATTTTCAGCAGTAATTTCGCAGGTCCTTATATTATATGTGTAAACTCACGGATGAAGGTATCTTCTTGGATGTCCTTGAATTCGCAGCTTCGAGTAACCCCTAAACCCAAGCGAAGTTACTCTGTGGGCCTTCAGAAAGCAAACGGGATAGAATGATTGATTAGAATAAAAGGTGTGTGACGAGTAGTCAGAATAGTGAACGCCCATATATTCATGCTAGGGTATATTTGCAGACTAGGATCGGTCATATCAAGCCCTTGACTGTTCTGGATCCCAAGTCTCCAACCTATCGGTGTCGGTATGAGCCATATTCTGAAGCTTGGATTCACTTTACTGTATAGGCTCTGGACGCCTGTCTCCCTCTTGGTCGCGATTATGATGAGCTCTATGATGAAAGACACATTCTAGTTGATCACCAAAAAGCTCGGATTCAAGTAGTCAACTGCCTTGAACGACAGAGAGCAGAATACTTCCACATTGGACTTGTGCCACACTCTTAGGGCTGAACATCGATGGTTGCCTGGAGTTCGGGTTCCGAGGGCCCCGGCAAACCCGAACGAGATCCCGAAATAGCGCCTAGATCTATCAAATCATAAATCGTGTTGCCTAGCCCTGGAGAACATTCCTTTCTCCTCTCGTGATCCTCGGATGAGTAGGGCCTTCTGAAGCTTATTTTCCACTCCACATTGACGATTTTTCTGCAAGCCTCTGACTTCCATGACAAGAGGGACGGAAGGACTTCTCCAAACGGCTAGTAGCTACCCGAACGACCCAAGGAAACGAGAGCAACAATCTAAAACAAGAAATGGTGACTATGGTGGTATTGGGCTGAAAGCTTTCTGTCCTGGCGGTTGGCCCTTGTATCCTGGAAAGATTGGAGTGCCCTGAAGAGGATGACAACTTTTTACCTAATCCGGAGTGGCTTGGGTTTGTTCCTATGGGCCCATCCGACTAGGGCAGCCCTGCACATTTCCCGAATATGTTTAGTACTGGGGCCTGAGATAACATGCCCTGGCCGTGCTGAGGCCTGCAGTCATTCAAATGGACTTTTACTTCCCTTTCCTGCGATCTTAGTATGCTTCTGGACCATATCCCAAGATTGTATCTATGCAGCCTACGCAAAGTTTCTATCCTTTATCCTCATTGTACCAGAAGCCTCGAATCGAATCATCAGTCGGTATGACGCCAGATTGTACCCCTTTCGCCCCGGGTGAAGGACCTAAGACGCCCAAGAAGACCACGAATGCCAACAAAGAACGAAGGAAACGCTGCCGGGCCGAGTACAACAAAGCAGAAGGTTGCAGAAGGGTCCTGCTGGCGGAGACGATCGGACAGTCATTGCATCACGGCCATTCTCGCCTCACGAAGTGGGATGTTAACCATATTTCTCATGATCCCTTCGAACATCAGGAGCCCTCTGTTAAAGTGGCTTCGTCAGCATGGCTATCAGTTCCCCATGGCAACGGTCGTTCCAGTGGGAGCACCTACAGTAGTACGAGCACATCCGACGATAGCCTTACAGCTCGATCCTATGATACCTGGCCCACCGGCTCTAGCCGCACCAGCGAAGAGGACGCACATAGCCTACGAAACAGCTCCATCAACGTCGGCCGAAAATCCCTACCATATAAACGCATCGTCAGCTTGGACGGACAGGCTTCCGCTGAAGACGTGGAGCGACTGGCGACTCAATATGGTCAAGCCTCGCATATGGGACTCCTTGACCCCAGCTACAATGTTTTCGTGGATGGAGATCGAACCGGAGGTTTATGCTTCAAGGTTCTGAACAGGGTAGCTATAGTGATGGGCGATCCTATGTGCGACCCAAGTCAGATATCCAACGTTCTCGATGAGTTCAACCGCTACCGACGTCAAAAGCGCTGGGATATTTCATTCCTCGGCGCCAGAGAGACACTTCTGGGCTATGCCAAAACACATAACAAGAAATGGACGGTCTTGCAGTTTGGAAAAGAGCGGGTCTTGAATCCTCTGATGAACGAGGTTATACACGAGACCCACGGGAAACGTATCCTCACTCAGAATCGACAGCTCCTCAATCCCAGCAAAGGCGGCATTACCTTGGACATTTATACTCCGTCTCCACAGACGGATTACGGGTTGGAAATCGAGTTGTGTGCAATCTATGAAGAGTGGCGCATGGCCCGCAACAAGTCGGGAAGACTTCAAGCATTCATCACAGAGTACGACCCGTTCTTAATGCCGAGCCTCATGACATACATCTATTCTCGAGGACAAGACGGCAGAGTCAACGGTTTCGCTGCCTTACGATGGATCGGGGCAAAGAATGGATATCACGTTGATCCGTGTATCGCTGCCCCTGGAGCGCCAAAGGGGATCAGCGACCTGTTAATATTCGCCTCAATGGCTTGGCTGAGGCAAATCGGAATCTCATATCTTAGTTTTGGTTATGAGCCTTCCGATTCGTTGGCAGAAGTGTCAGGAATGCCTAGTCCTATCGCGCATCTCACCCGGCAGATATATCGATATACGTTCCAACGACTCCCAATCGGCGGAAAGAAGACGTATTTTGACAAGTTCAAGCCGGATGACGAGCAGGATTCGCCTCTCTACCTAATATTTCCGTCGAAGATCCCAGAACCACGGCCCGTTATCGCTATGGCTCATGTTGCTAACATCAGTATCCGGAAGCTGCTATTCGATCACAGCACCAAGCGCTCAGTCCCGCAATAATCTGACCTCTCATTTGAACGCTTTTTAGGGGAACTGAACAATATGGATCTTTCCGGGACCGGTACTGTCTCTTGACTCGTTTTTTTTTGTTTGGATATAGACTCTTTTGTTCTGTTCAGTCCCAACCATTTCTCATTACTCTGGCCTCTTTGATTCTTCTTTGTAATCTCCCTCTCTTCAGCGTGTTCCTATGTCCTTGTTTCATTTAATTTGATGTTCCCAAGAGCGAAGCAAATTATATGTTTCTTTATCCTTCCATGCATGTACGCAAAGGACAATGGTCTGCGTCTCTCTCCATGAACGGTTTGCATTAAGGCTGCAGCTTTTCTCATCTAATTCTCTTCACGTCCACATACGCTCATTCGAAGGCTGGGTGTAATTATAGAGTGATAATATGAGCCTACTAGAGGCAGGAGCCCTATATATGGAAAATTGAATATTCGACGCAGAGATCAAGGTTGGATTTCTCATGTTTTCTGTTCTTCACTCTGTAGATCTTTTTCATGTAAGGTGCGCCACCACAGTGATAAACTAGACCCTACTTTATATATCCTGATTACAGAAAGTTGATATAGCCACAGAGTTTGGTGTTCCGCTCACCACCTTACATCTTGCTGATTGCAATCTCGCTCTGTCAAGTGTGAATTTATATGATCTGATCAGCTCCTGGGACTGGTACATGCATTATAAACGGTGCTACTTCAATCTATTTCCCACTAGCCTGTGTGACGATGCCTATTTGAGCTTCACTGGCTGATAAAGGCTTGTTAAAGCTTGGATGTCGCCCTCGCACGCAACCGAGGCCACTAGACTCGACCCAATCAGATTCGCTCTATTGAAACATCCTCATGGGGTCAAAAGCAGCGTCTATTTAGCGCTGAATTCTACGGAGAGGCTCATCTGTCCCCGCCAGCCTTCTTCTGCTCTGGCTTAGTCGGTCGATCACCACGACTCTCACAGGCACTCTGTCCAGTAATGGGCCCGAGATGGCGGTCGTCCTCATTCGGTATTGGACTGACCTCAATCCCGGGATCTAAGTGACGGTGCTCATAGTCCTGTCCGCCGTAGTAGCTTTACTTATCATTCGGGTCTACGACGAGCTGGAGTTCGTCTTCGCCATTCTCAAAATCCTCCTCATCACCGGGGTCGTCCTGACGGGCCTCGTCATCAACCTCGGCGGCGTTCCGGGTACACAGCGTCTCGGGTTTCATTACTGGAAGGATCCCGGTCCATATGCTGACTACATTGCCACGGGCTCTTAGGGTCGCTTCCTCGGCTTTGGGCCGTGCTCACAACACTCGTGTGCTGCTTCTCCGGCGTGGACAGTCTGACGATGGCCGCAGCGGAGATGCACAACCCACGACAGAATATCCCTCGTGCGTGCAAACGGGTCTTCGCGCGTGTGACCATCTTCTACGTCGTGGCTGTCTTGATCGTCGGGATGATTGTCCCGAGCAATGATCCCAGGTTATCCGATGAGTCCGGGACGGCCGCGCAGAGCCCCTTCGTGATTGCGGCGGTCGATGCAGGCATCAAGGCCGTGCCTTCACGCATCAACGCCATCGTACTCACCTCGGCCTGGTCGGCTTCCAATCAGAGTATCCTCGCCGGAACGCGGACGCTGTACGGCCTAGCGCTGAAAGGCCACGCGCCTGCTGTGTTCCTGCGCACCACGCGCCATGGGGTTCCGTACATTTGTGCGGCGCTGCAGATTGCGGTGTCCTCTCTGGCGTATCTGAGCTGCTCGAATGGGGCTCTGACCGTGTTCTACTGGCTGTTGGATTTGACGTCGTCGGGGGTGTTGGTGTCGTGGGGGACGATTGCGCTCAATGATATCCGCTTGCTCAAGGCGTTCAAGGCGCAGCGGATTTCCCTAGGGAGCTGCCGTGGCACAACTCATGGTCGTGTGTGTTTTCCTCTGGCTGAACTGGATATTTGCCCAGTATTGCAGCAGGGTGGAATGACTGATTTATCGGTCGCAATAGATTACACCTCGTGGTTTGCGCTCATCGCTTGCATCGTCATTCTGTTGACGGGGGGTTTTTGCAGTCTTCACTCGGGGTAACTGGTACCCCGCCTCCTTTGTATCATCATATCTGTAAGTACACATTTGTTTCGCACGTTCTGGCCAGGGTGACTAGTGTAGGGATATCCCCCTTGTGCTCGCATTCTATCTTGTATACAAGTTCTGGAAGAAGACCGCGCTGGTCTCGCTGCATGATGTCCCCTTACAGCAGGCTCTGTATGAGGCACGGACTAATCCAGAGAATATATCGATCAAGAAGAGTAGATGGTCGAGGTTGAATGTTTTATCGCGTTGAGTTGATGTGAACGGTCTGGCCTTCCGTGGGTCATTCAAGTCAAATCCGACTGGGTGTCTTCCTTGCGGACTATCATGCTGATCAGACGAGATCCGCTGGGCAGTATTAATATATGTCTAAGCTAGATTGAGAGATTAGAGAGAGTTAGAACTTTATGTCAAACCTCATCTATCAGAGATTATACTAGAGCCCAAAAACAAGAAAAAAGCAAGAATCCACGGCCATAGTTGAATTTCCTGCACGGGAGATCTTGTCTTGATATATCATTAGGCAGGCCCCTAAGATAGCTTCGTAGTCATCTTCACCATGTCGTATGAAATGTACAGATTTTACAATCTCGTCATCCCCAACACCGCGCAAAAAATCGGAGTAATGACATACCCAAGTCAGACCGCTACTACACTATGTACCTTTCATCTTATACCATCTGAAAAATAGGGACAAGTACATCAACTACACTCAACAACCATGAGACTAACGATCTAGCTATCCCAGATAGCCCCATACGCAGGAATTCCCCTCGTCTCCATCCCGTAAACCACCTTCTTGGTCAGCTTCTCATTCGAAATCACAATCACAGCCTCCGCCTGGAAATCCTGGACCGCATCCCACGTCAGTCGCACCAGGTCCGGCCGGCCCTGCTTCTTCGTGTCGTGCACGACAGCTCCCGGATCCGCGTCGTAGACTGCGTCCACGATATCCTTCCCAAATGTATCCACCGGATTTGGCGTCGACCAGACCAGGCGGAAAGGACATGTTGGGACCTGGATGTGGCCAAGTAGAGGTCCGATACCTGAGCCGGTTCCAACGAGGACGACTCTGTTGAAGAGGGTCGCGATGCGCATCACGCCGCACGCTGTTGCGGACGGATTAGTAGAAGAATAAATTGAAAGAAGAGCAGGGCTTACTGGGGATACCACGAATCCACAGGTGCGTGGGTGGTTTGCTGATCTGCCGTCCTGTCCAGTCCCCTGCACGCGATACTACTAATGAGTACCCCTTCGGTCTACCATCCACTGCGGTTGGGGCTGGAACTGTCGCGAAGGAGTGCCACTCTAAGAGAGGCCGTTCGGACAGTCGTGTAAAAGTCCCGTTGACCGGCATCGTATAGTCAAAGTGAAGCCGCACGGCATGGTTGGAGAGGACCTCGGCATCGACGGGAATCTTCCGTAGGAACATCCACGAGCTTGCAATGCTAGCGGTGATGACCAGTAACATCCAGAAATTAGACGAAGAGACGACGGCCCGACCTAAAGTTTGGTCTACGCCGCACTGGTCCCGTATGGAGAAGATTGTTTGGATCCAGATGATGCCGAGGATGGTCCAGCCGAAGAAGCGATGAATGCGCTCGAACATATTATGACGCTTCTTCCTGAAAGTCGGATATGCAAAGCCGATCATTGCACATAAGAGAAGCAACACAAGCAGGGAAAGGGTGAGAGTTGCGGGTGAGATCTTCGCCATCACTCCTGCATCGTCGGCCCAGTTGTAAATGTTGTAACCAATAGAGCCGGCAAACCAGGCCGTAGCAGCCATTGCAGCACCCGAGTGAACTCCACCAAGGTGATAGATTTTTGCGCACCGGCGACGGATCGCCAATGGCCATGACTTTGGCACTGAGCAGCAGATTGTGTAGAGGATATTGATGACAGCGTCCTGGCGGACGAGGACAGCAATGGTAAGGTTGATGAAGGCGATCGTTGAGATCCACTGGGGCCCAACCTTCGGAACGAGCAGAACACACAAAAGAGCAGCAATATTGGCCAGCCATACGAGCGTGAAAAGCCTCCTGTAGACAATGAAAATGCGGTACCTGAGCCCCCGAATGGCCTTCCGGTCCTTCTTCTCCGCCAACGGCAAGGGTTTGTGGAGTGATTCTGACGACTCTGATAGAGTTGATTCAGTTTCGTGAGGAGAGCTGAAAATAATCTGCCTCTTCTCATTCAGTATCTCCGAAACACTGTGCGATTGTGTCTGTTTTTGGGAGCGGCAAAACTGAGCCAGGGCCCGTTTGTCGACCTTGCCATTTGGCGTCAGTGGAAACGCATCCACGCTATGTAGTTGCGTTGGGATAGCATAATATGGGAGTCTCGCTTTCAAGTGTATCTCTATTTCCTGCGAACTGAGCGTCCGAGGGGTGACGAATGCGACCAGGTCTCCTTCCACCATGATGGCGGCAGCCTCCATAACATCCGGGTACGACGCCAATGACGCGCTGACGCCATCTAGCTCGACACGGAAGCCCTACTTGCCTTCAGGGCTGTGAATAGGGTAAAAAAGGCGACAGAACATACCTTGATTTTGACCTGATCATCATTGCGTCCCAGCGTTTGCAAGTTCCCATCCGGAAGCCATCGGGCCAAGTCGCCGGTATTGAACATCATTGAGTGGCTGCACGCAATCCATCTGTCAGCGAGAAGCTCCTCAGTCTGACCAATTGTCTGGAGGCGTACCCATCATCAACAAAAGGATCATAGCGATAGCGTTCGGCAGTCTTGTCGGGCTGTCCGAGATACCCTCTTGTGATCCCTGCTCCGCCAGCCCACATAGTCCCAACCTCTCCAATCGCAACTGGATGTTGCTTATTGTTCAGTATATACACACTTGTGTTTGGGAGAGGCCTTCCGATGGTCAACTGCTGGCCAAGTTTGTGTCTATGCATGGTGTTGATGATGGTGATCTCTGTTGGGCCGCAGCAGTTGTAGAAGGTTGCTCCGTTCGCCACCCATTTGTCTGCGAGACTAGAACAGTCAAAGAAGTCCGTCAGCTTAGATGCGGAGACACATTTTGTGGACAATGACTACCTTTGAGAACATGGCTCGCCAGCAGTGGCGACACATCTGATATTGGGGAAATCTTCGGGACGGTATCGACTGAGTATGCTCGGGGTGCATATCAGCGTATCAACCTAGTTGGCGAGGTTCAATCCGGCTGCATCGAATATTTTCATGATACCTCAGACTCACCTGTTGTAGCGCTGCGTGCCAATCGGACCCTCTTAAGACCAAAGTCGCGCCGTTGCAGAGGCTTCCCAGTATTTCCCATGCACCTAGCCGTCTCAGTAAGGACTTTGGTCGTCGCAGTTCTCCGATACTCACCCATGTCGAAACTAATTGACAATACTTGCCCCACCCTGGAGCCACGGGACATTCCCAAATTGCCAGGCGCATGGCAGACGACGTTTGTAACATTCCCATGCGTGACATCGACACCTTTGGGGGTGCCGGTGGTACCTGCATGGCGAGGAATGCATTAGATTCAGACTCGGTTCACAACAGCGAGAACAGACTGACCAGAGGTGTAGATCACATAGCACCCCGAATTCTCGTCTCCCTCACAAATCAAACGAGTGGTGTCAACCCGGAACCCAGTACGCTCCGCCTCCGCGATTAATTCCTCTAGTATCAGAAGCGAAGATAGTTGCGGAAAGGCATGCAGTCTCGACCCAAAGGCACCCGTACACAACGCTACGGAGCTCTTGGATTGAATCACAGCATGTTCCAATGTCTGGTCCGGAACAACAGCACCGTCGAGGGGGACATACTGCACGCCACACATGAGGATGCCCAGAATACCTGCCACCATCTCCACACTCCGTTTTGTGGAAAGGACAATCCTGCTGCCCGGTGCCACACCATGATTTTGAAGTCGAAGAGCAATGAACTGGGAATACACAAGCAGCTTACCGTATGTGATCTCCACCAATTTGTTGTGGGAAAGATCACAGATGGCGATGGTGTCAGGATATTGCGTTGCACGATCTATGAAGGCCTGGTGAACAGTGGGATAGGGAACAGGGCACTGCGGACCGAACCCGAATGATCGGAAAAGGTTTCCGTCTCGGGGTGAGATCAGAGGAGACTCCATTTCTCGGAGATTTTGTCAATAGTACCAGAGCTCGTTACAAGAAGTAAGCCTGGCTGTAAGAACAGCTGAGCACAAGAGGACTCCCTCCCCTGATATATGTGCTCCCGTTGTGCTACAATCTCTCCGCTTGCGAGCAAATGAACACATGTTGCCTGGAGTCTGGCTGAGGAATTGCCAAGCCATAGATGACCTCGAAATTGATTGCTAGATCCACCCCTACTATGTCAGAAACAAGAACCGCCCGACCCCGGCAGTCACTCATGGCCAGAGGGTGTGTTTGCGGAACAGCAGTGAGACAAGCTGATGCATCTCGAACGGTCAATTGCCTCGATTCGGCCTCTTCAGGCTCCTATCACGTCACTGGAGTCGCATGGTCGATTACGGCCTGGGTAGAAATGGGCTCGGCAAGCGGGGTCAAATTCGTCGATCATAGGCCATCTTGATGCTCCTTCTTGGGTTTCTCTTGGATATTGGTGGCTTTACTCGCACTAGGGTGACTTTGAAAGTGGAGAAAAGACCCTGGTCGCAGGTCGACTCTGCAACGGTCGTCTGAAGGATTCGCCCTCGACCAATCGGTTCATCATGGCCAGGACGATCGTCATCATGATTCGTCCTCATATGCATATACTCTTGATCGTTCTCGACTCTTGCAGACCCCTTATCTGACGCAGAGACGGAATTCAGCCGGATCTGCGAGCGGGGGTTCGTATGAAAACGGTCTAACGTGCTTATGCTAATCTTATGAATCTTCAAAGCGGCATCTTGGCCTCCTTGACTCGTCCCAGGTGTGACGCTATGTCGCGAAACGGGCGTTCTCGACATGCTACACCCGGTTTAGCTGCTTAGCCGTTGTGGCGTGTGACAGCTTGACACGGGCCGGAACTCCGTGTGTTTCAACCCCTACATGGGAAAGGTAAACGGTCAGGAAAGGTTTCAGCCAGATATTGAACTTCCTTTTAGCCCGGCCTGCTTCCCTTGGAGCTGGAATTGTTCGTAGTGCTGTGTGTGATCCGAGCCTCAGGTGCACAGCATCATGGATCATTCCAAGCAGACCCAAGAACTTATTCTGGCTCAGACACATCAGACATCTGCTCGGATACTCACGTTGAATCGTCCAAACAAGCGAAATGCTTTGTGTCAGACCCTTATCGACGAGCTTTTGTGGCAGCTAGAGATTGCCTCGGCTGATCCGCACATCCGATCCATCGTCATAACTGGTTCGGGCGCCATGTTTTCTGGTAGGTGTTAGAGCAAGGAGAGATGGCAACGACCGCAAACGCAGGAAGTATGTAGCTGACGTGTTGGGACGTGGGCTTTCCATACAGCTGGTGCCGACATTAAAGAGATTGCTCAATTTAATGGCGAAACTGCTCGTCAGAAACGGTATCTTGAAGATTTCTGTCATGGAATGAAAAAGGTCCGCAAGCCGATTATTGCGGCGATTGAGGGTAAAGCAGTATGGTCTCCTGGACTGAGTATTGCTATGGTGCCGCTGACGAATTCGTTTCTCACAGCTTGGAGGTGGTTTTGAGCTTGCCTTGATGGTATTTTATATCCACCTTTCAGACGGCTTCGGATCTAACCAGAATCACTCTTCAAGGCGGACTTTATCGTTGCCACGCCAGACGTGGAGTTCCGACTTCCTGAAATATCAATTGGCCTGATCCCTGGTGCTGGAGGTACGCAGAGAGTGACCGCTGCTCTGGGCAAGTATAGGGTAGTCTGCTCTCTCGCAAAGGCTCGCTCCATTGATACGGGTTCAAACTTACAAGGTCCTATGTAGGCAATGAACATGATTCTGCTCAATGAGCCGCTTTCTGGACATGACGCCTATCAATTAGGACTAGTTAGCAGACTGGCGGAGCCTGGAAAGGCTTTGTCTGGGGCGTTGGAGATTGCAGAGAAGCTGGCAACTCACAGTGCATCGACCTTGATGCTGTCAAAGGAGGCAATATGCAGAGGTAAGCTTCATTACTCTCTTGTTGCTTTGACCTTACTCACGCGTTGTCAGCGGACGAATTGCAGCATGACCATGACTTTGAGCGGTCACTTTATTATTCCGCATTCGGGACCCGCGATATGATTGAGGGGGTCGGTGCATTTCTCGAGAAGCGGGCACCTGTATGGAGAACGCCATCTTGAGGAATAACCGCCGAATGGGGAATAAACCATCGGATAAAGGCCTGCTTTTGCTCCTATGGTTGATTGCCTCGGGTGTACATTATGGGGAGATTGAGAGCTCTGTTAGTGAAAAAATGAAGCTCAACAGGAACATGCCTGGAGAGCAACATGTATATGTTGAATTCGATGACCACGGTGATAACGTGTCTGTATATAAATCTCTCAACCACTTCATCGTCGCATTTGGTGCTACTATAGCCATATATACCTAGAACTGTGGGCTGGATCGCTACCAAACTCTAAATGCTGGACTTTGCTTCCACTCGGAGACAATTGATGAAGGCGAATAGGACGGGGGCTGTTCGTCCGGACTATAGGCCACATATTCCCGAGCATGACTGGAGCCTTCATCTGCTGAGCCCCTGGCTAAAATCTCCTTTTCTGCCGTCATTTCAACATTCGAGAGTACTCCTACCTCCAGATCTGTAGCAACGAATTTTAACAACTTTCCTGCGCATTCGAACACCAGCGAGATGTTCAGCCGGCACGAACGGCTTAGATTGAATGTGCTGAAAGTGATATCAGTGGCAGGCAATGATAACTGGCCGAATCGCTCGGAAAGGTCCATCTGTCCGCTAACAGCCATCCGTAACGAGGTTTTGGAGAGGAGCGTGGTCTCTTCGTCTACCTCGCCTGACATAGATCCCATCAGCGGAGGGGACGCCCGAGCGGCGATCCTGCCAACAAGTGTAATGGAGATCGTTTGTAAGACAATCTCTGGGATTCGGGGGGCGTTAGTGTTGTCAATGAATGGATTCACATCCAACAACAGTCGAATCGGCATGCCATGAACAAGGTAAGACGGGTACCAGAAATCAACACCGAAAGAAAAGTAGGGCAACTGGGCGGGAGATAGCCAGGACTTGAATCTCTCCTGCACGCTCAGGAACCGGTCGGTATTTTCAGGCAACAAGCATAGACTTCGCACGGTGAATGTGCGGTCGATTTTTTGCTTCTTCTCTAGTTCGATAGCATGGGCGTGCGCTCGTGCCGCCATTGGGACGAATGGAAGATGCAGCACTTTCTCAAATGCAGGGGACCTTCGCTCGAACAAACCCCGCTGCGGCTTGAAGACCTGAACTTTGAGCCGGTACTCGATGCTTGCGGATATCCTTCGTTGTGAATTATGGCACTCGGCATCAAATGATGGGGGTAATGGTTGGTTCTCGTCGCTACGGAATGGCCGCGCCTCAGGCCATGTATTTTGTGATTCCATATGAGGGGGGAAACGGAATTCAAATGGCCATTCATAGGTTGTAGGCGGTACTTTGTATTCCTCTGCCGGGACAAGGATTCTCTCCCTTTCGAACAAGATGCATTTGCTTTGGTAGCTGCCTGTGGGTGCCGCTGGGCCCTTGACTTTCTGAATCCTGGCTTTGGAGCAACCCGAGAAGGTTAGCCTGACATCCTTGATCTCGTGAAAATCTCGAGGACAGTCGAAAATGACTCGTCCCCTGATGATGTCGTTTTCCGCGTAGCATTGCCGGGGGTCTTCGATATAGATGTTGAGGGACATTGCGCGCGCTGAGAGTGACGAGGAAGGGTGGTAAAGGAATTCCTCTCGAAAGAGAAGAATGTGAGATATAATTCTTCTCTGGGAGAATTTCTCCTTCTCCTCTTCGAAATTAAGCAAGGATTGAGCCCTCATGGGAACTGTAAATCTGGTGCAATCTTCCTAAAGAGGCAAAAATTGTACGAGTACGCAGAGTGGAGACTGGTGGACCTTTGGCGTCAAACCCTCATTGGCCTTGACCATGGTTTCTCTCAAGGCTTTGATCCCTAGGATGAGATTCGGAGATTTCAGTGAATGTATTTCTTAACAGGAGAATTGAATCGATCAGCTTTCTTCGGGTGTTCGGATGAATTCCATGTAGTTAGAATGCATGGAGAAACCGTTGAATTGCGGGCCGTTCTTTTTTGGGTGAATAATAACACTTCAAATATGTACTAGGTAGTGGAACATTTCTCTATATATAGTTGGACTCTTTCCTATTGTATAACCATGACTGTCGGAATTTGGTTCTTGCTGTTACTTCTGCCTGAATATACGAGTATGATAGAAGCGAGATCTGCGCAGCAGGAACACGATCCTGAATCAAGAGCCAATAGTGATCAAGTCCGTGTATACAACTTCAAATTAGATGCTGATCATTTCCCCACAGCATTGGTTCAATATTCATACGGCAGTCGTCGGCAGGTGTTGAACATAGTAGCATGGCATCATCAATAGGATCCCGATTCAATATTTGACGAGATAACGGGGGATATGGGTGGAAGTACGGGTATAAAAACCGTACCTCCCTCGCCGTGGACGTAGTAATATACTGCCATTATTGCATATCCTCTCTCCCTCAAGCTACGAAATGTTATTGTCCTCATCCAAGGTATTTGCGTCTCTCCTAGCTCTTCCCAGTGCAGTATTCGCCCAGCCACACTGCAAACTCTCTCCCCTTGATGCTGAATGGCCTTCTACTGAAGAATGGGCTGCGCTGAACACGTCAATCCAAGGAGCCCTGATCAAGACAGCCCCGGCTGCGTCGTCTTGCTATCCGGGGAATCCCTTTGGCTCAACTGAGAATTGCACAATCGTGAAGAATTACTGGTCCTATGCTGCATACCACTCTGCTTGGCCTGAGAGCGTTGATTACTCGATCTATACCAACAACTCCTGCGTACCTCCTGGTGTTGCGGGCTATACCGAGGGCCGGGGCTGTAGCATTGGGGCTCTCCCACAGTATATTGTCAATGCTACGACTGAGGAGCAGGTGGCCAAGGCAATGCAGTGGGCATCCGACAGAAATATCCGTATGGTGGTGAAGGGAACAGGTCATGATCTCAGCGGACGGTATGCGAGCTTGGTAGACTTTTGGCGTCCTTGTCAACTAATTTGAACCTCAAACTAGATCTACCAGCGCATGTTCGCTCTCAATCTGGACACACAACTTTAAGCACATTGTCCATCAGCCGTCATGGCCTGTGCCTGCCTCCAACCGCACCGCGGACGTTGTGATCATTGGAGTGGCAACACCTGGGGATCCATATACACTGCCGTTCATGCAATCCACCGCACTGTTATAGGCGCGGAAGACGCCACCGTCGGACCCGGTGGATTGATCCAGAACGGAGGTCACGGTCTGCTTTCTAGCCACTACGGCCTGGCCTCGGATCAGGTATACCAGGTCATAGTTATCACTACGGGCGGCCGTCGTCTAGTGGCCAGCCACGCGGAGAATCAAGATCTCTTCTAGGCTGTCCGAGGCGGTGGTGGGGGCCAGTTTGGAGTGGTCACCGAGTTCGTTCTCAAGACGTACCCTGTGCCTGCGAACGTGGTCACTGGCAGTCTTTCTTTCTATCCGAATCGCCTGGTAAAGGAGAGTGAGCTCGCTTCATGGGATGCCTTCGTGGAAACAGCACGCATGATTCCTGATCTGATGGACTCGACTATAGAACCGGTCTGGAGGCGTTGGGCCCCTGATACGGGCTCTTACATGAACGAGGGGAGCGCGTTCAGCAGTACCTGGAAGAATGACTTTTATGGCGAGAACTATGACCGGCTGCTTGCAATTAAACGCAAGTATGACCCGAACGAGAGTCTTTTCATCTGGAGTGGTGTTGGAAGTGACACGTGGACTTATGATTTACGCAGTGGGCTGCTCTGTCGGAGGTAGAGGGTTGCAGAAGTGAAATCTTGTTGGACTAACATATTTAATGTCAAGGCTCCCTAGCAATAGTTTGCCTCTGACTGAATACACTTGTTTGCAAAACCGGTGCATGTATCTATGCTCTCACACTCTTTCTGAACCCTAACGCCAAGAGGGATTACGCTTCAAATTTGCCAGTAATGTAAGAACGGTAAAGTACCTGGTTCGTATTGGCTTGCATGCTCGATATGCGGTTGCTGGGACTGACAGCTTCCATGCAAGTTAAATAAACTAGAACAATCGGTGCCTGGCAGATATGACAATCTGTCAACGGTCGTCTTCCGGTTCCAATCTCGCTTCCTGACATTCATGATAGGTGTCTATCTCAAAAGCTTCTGAGTGGAGCAACATTGATGCCCCTGCTTCCCAACTATTCTTCTCGGCTCGTCCGCATCAACTTTGCTCATTAGTACTTATTCAAGGAGTTCCACCCGTAAAAACTAAAACTAGATGCTCATTGTAAATTCGGACCAATTCATTCCTTGTCCACACGTGGGGCTTGGCAATCATAAGCCAGGGAGATCGTTGACCACTCTTGATAAGTTGTGCTGACCGAAGCCTTCATGTCTGGCCACGGAGGAAAATATGCCCGACAAGGTCCCAACAATTGACTTCTCCTCGTGTGTCGAAGTTGAGTTGCCTTGATGCTAGAAGTACATGGCTGGGTGCTTTTTTGATAATTGTACTGCCTTGCTGATTTGATTCTCCTCCCCAGACATCATCACTTCGCCGAAAGACGCCTGAACCTGTTCTGAGAAACCATGTCCCGATGGCTCACTCAAGGAGGTCCCACCAGGAGTTGAAGGCGAAGTGGCTTGGTTTATGCTCATCTGTAGACTTGATCGAGAGCCGTCCGGTGAATCTGTTCCGATAAAAATTCTGGACATCTGGGAAGGCCGAGCATTCTGACGCTGCACTGTACTGCCTCTGGACTGAATTATCTCACGTGGCCGAAAGCCAGCGTCACGATTGTTTGCCTCAATCGAAAACATTGTGCGCTGCTCGCGAACGTTGTTTATTATCGTAAACTGGTCGCTCTTTGCCTCCAACCAGCGCTCCAAATCCGATGGCTCGTGCAAAGGAAATTGTGTCCATTCTTCCATTCGTGCAGCCTTCTGTTTCGGGGATATCTGGGCCTTTTTGGAAGCTCGGACGAGTGACGGACCGTTCATTGTGCGTAGAGTCGCAAGCGCTTCATACAAGGCAAGCTCGGTGTCTGCAAGTCGCATTTCTAGTTGATTGATATAGCCTAATGGTAGGCCCCTGCACAGGCCATGAGGAACGGGATCATATGGGGGAAGAGGACAGATGACCTACCTTTTCCCACTCTCTGGGTAATTGCATTTCGACGGGTTCGCTGAACACTGGGAGCAGAATGGACTGCCCACGGCACTTAGTTTCTGTAGCATTCACCACTGCACTTATTGAACGGTTATCCATACAGACTGCGGTCACACTAGCGGCCACGTTAGTCCCAGGTCAAGTCCGAGGACAAACACCCGACTCACCTTGCATTTTCTTTGTCTGCATAACCCGCAGGAAATAGGACTAACTGGTTCGGCCTCTGTATATATCTTGCCATCAGCAAAATTCTTGCCGACAATCGTAATGGCCGCAGAAGAGCCAGGAAGCGGAGTAACACCAATCTAAGGACATCTCCATGGACCATAACTGACGAAAGATTGCAAAAAATCACCATGATAATCGTACCTGGAGGCATAGTGGCAACTCGGATAAAGGGAGCTCAATTGTCAGGATAGAAGATCCGATTATACAAAAGCTACCTCGTTGGAATATCCACATAAGAAAGATGGGAGTTGGCTGGCGGACTTGGAAAACCCGGGCGGGCCACGTGATGTCCCCCGCGAGAATGGGGATTAGTCATCCCACTCCATCACCAAGTCCACAACTGGTGGGAGCGAGAGTCTTCGCAAATGTTTTGGCACACAATTCTTAGGCTGTGATTATGGATCCGGGTCAATATGACCACACCCTCTTCGTCTACGACTGGTCTGGGCGAATGTAACGACGTGCAATGGCAGTACCACGGTCGACCAGCCAAAAGGCGCAAAGGGACCTCAATCGCAGGCAGGTCCCGACCCTCGCCTCGAGAGATTGGCATTATGAGAGAGACAAAACAGGACGATTCCGCCACATTTCTAGGAAGTTCTAGTGGAATTCACTTTATCCGGACCGTTTACAATGCATTTGCAAGGCGTTCAGCGGTCTTACAGAAAGCGCGAGTCAGGAACCAGAGCTTGGTGCCTGGCGAAGACGATCAGTTACAAAGAAGTCCCGGAAAGTCGCACGGGCTTGATGAACTTTGTTTCAAAGACGAGTTGTCTCTTCAAAGCCCTGAGTTTGTGTCATTTGAGAGGCTCGTGAGTTGGTCGCGGAGCTACTTTGAACACTGGCACCCTATCTTTCCCTTCCTGCATGCGCCGACCGTGTTGAAAGTCATGGAAAAGGTCAGCGAGAAAGGAATCGAGACTTTGAATCGTGTCGATCTAGCTATTTTACGCTCCATATTCTCTATGTCCGTGGTTGATAACCGCCAGGTGCAGGACTCTGGTACCGCGGCGGATCCGATCCCTTCGGTTCTGGTGTATCAAACCGTGCAAGAGGCGATGGAAAGCATCCACGCTTTGCTTCTGGAGCCATCGACACTGCCGTTGCTACAGGCAGTATTCAGCGTCCAGCTAGTACTGACATCTGTGTTACGTCTCAATACAGCTTCCAGAGTCGGAGGATTGATCACTCGAACGGCGTTCCATCTGGGTCTTCATCGCTGTCCCGCACGCTTCTCGTGCTTCGGTCATGAGGATGCAGAGATTCGCCGTCGTCTTTTCTGGTCGATTTACTGTCTAGAAAGATATTTGTCCCAAGCTCTCGGCACACCCCCCAGTATGCAGGATGACGACATCGATGTCTGCTATCCAGGGAGTGAAAGGCACGGAGAGATAGGAATGATGCCACAAGCAAAGGACTCCCGCAGCCATTTGCGATTGCTTACCCATCTTGCCAAGTTTGCACGGCTCAGGGGTCTTATACTGGAACTTCGCAACAAATCCATACTGCACAGTCATGACAATACGGTCGAGGCCATTTATGTCAACGGTGAACTTGCGCAATGGTGGAACGAGGTCTATGACGACGTTTATCCCATGGAGGAGCAGCTGGAACATCCGTCCCTGCACGAAACATCTTTGCAACCTTACCACCGCTTACTGCTTGTGGTCCTAAGGCACGAGTCGATCATATCAATGAATCGACCATTACTGGCCGCTGAACAACTCTCGCCGGAATACAAATCAGCCCTACACACCTGTATTGAATCTTCACGGTCCTTGGTTTCAGCTTTGGGGAAGTACCTACTCGCTGATAATAGTAGCCAAAACGGCGAAGATGCAGCAGACGGTAGAAAACACCAAGCGCCATTGACTTGGCCATCGTTTACCTGGGCCACCTGGATGGCCTGTCTTATCCTGATGTACGCAGCATCAGAGGGCGAGTTTTCAAGTATTAGCGCCCTGAAATATGCTAAACTCGGCATCTTGATATTGGAACATCTCTCCTTGCGGAAGAGTAGCTGGCCGGAGACCTGTATCGAAGCGATCAAAGGCATGGAGTCGGCCTTGAGAATCAACCTAGCATCTGATTCTGGCCAAAAATCTCCGGTACCCAGCTCGTTTCCCAGAAGCACACCACGGATAACGCGGTCAGCTCCCAGCGAGGCTCACATACACATAGGGCCGAATGGTAGAACAGATGCATTCTCAGAGCAGGATGAGGGCATGTCGCAAGCAGATCCCCTGTCTTCGCCCTTCACGCCGAGAATGAGTACCTCGAACATCCCCGAGAGAACACCATTCGGGCTATCCCCCACAGCACATGAGCAACAGCCAATGTCGAACCAGGCCCATCAGCCGTCGGATTACAGTCTGCACAATGACCAATCCAGCCTCGGGATAGAGGCTGGCAGTATGAATGACTTGAACTCAGCTGGTTTGATTTTCGGAGACACGATGGGCTCACACTTGTCCTATGCGATCGCTGCAGGCCAGGAACTCGCTCCTTTTGCAAATGCCGACCCGTGTGCTATAAACAATCTATGGAGTGTTGCGGATGGCCCTTGGATGATTCACGGAAACTTTTCATGATTCTGTTCGTTCAATGCTATGAACTCGCCAACGTTGGTACAGTATATCATCATAAACTAGGAAATATTATCCCTCGCTTCAACTTCGGGGTTCAGGACAACCTCATTTGAATCTCAAGGTAGAAGGAAAGCTTCACGTATTGACCTCAACACCCTGAAAGTCAATGGAAGAAGTAGGTAAGTTCATTTGTTCCCACTTCCCAGGTCTGTTTGGCGAGGAGTCATGTGAGATATGGATCATGTGACATGAATGTTGTTTGCGCGCCCCTTGAGCTGGCGTGCTTTCCTTTCCCTACTCAAGGGCACCTTCGACATGTTCTCATACATGGTTAATCGGTTTTCGTACCTACAACAGTCACTCCTACACTTCATATTACAGTCATTCGGCTTTTTCTCCCGCATAAGCTCCCTTTTCATAGAGAGGCTCTCATTTGCAAACAAAAGTCCGAACGACCTTGAGTCCAATATCCCTTTCGACATCCCAGAAGGCCCTTCAACATGTGAAACCTACACTGTGCGTTTACAACCTCAGCATGGTCTGGATATCTTGGGTGTCGGAGCTTCTGGCCAAGTCTACAATGTTAGCGACCAAGTTGTTCTCAAGACTTGCCGAATTTTCGCACCACCTAGCAGTGATGCCTCTCGAAGCGACCTTTGGCATTATGCTTCGGACACACTATTTCATTTCAATTTACTGAAAGATAAGCGAACCGTCTTGCAGCTGCTGCAAAATAGACCACATCCCCACATCATAGAAGCCATCGATACCGATCAGCCGGAGGGATTATATCTCCGCAAATATCGACAACTACCTGTGGATGTGAAATCAATACAGGCTCGCCGGATCAGATTATACCGCGATATTGCCGATGCCCTGCGCCACCTCCACAGCCTCGGTATTGTGCACGCAGATGTAAGGGTTGATAATGTGCTTTTTGACGATCGGTTGTCGGCGGTTCTTTGTGATTTCAGCGCTGCCAGCCCTTGCGGCCAACCCAACCCGGTCTTTCCAGATCTCCCACTTCCGGTCAATGGCCCATAGCCGATTTTGTCCGAGGCATCCGACATGTTTGCACTAGCTTCGCTCATGTTTCACATGGAGCACGGATTCACCCCTGAACTGTCACTTGAGAATGGGAGAGTAGCTTTACCTGAATCGAAATCGGGGAACCAAGGCATTGATAAAGTCATACAGACAGCCTGGCTCGGCAATTACAGCCGCACGTCAGATATGGTACATCATCTAGCTTTTATTGATGCCCAGGTCAATCATTACGCTGAAAGCACTGAGGTACTTCCTGATCTCGAAGATTTGAAGAATCAGGTCGTGGATTGGAGAAATTACCGGAAACATAAATTTGGTAGGGCGACCCCTTACCAGATTCTAAAAGAAACACAGTTTTGCCGGCTAACTTGTCTCTAAGGATGCGTCCTCGAAGGGATTCTTTCAGAGGAGCAATTGAAAGTACTGGCTGAACGATACAATATGGATCCAGATGCAGATCTACGCTTCTCTCATTATAGCTTGCTTTTGTAATTGAAAGAGTGTGTGATGTATAATCAGGACGTGGAGATAGGTGTATGGACATATTTTGCCGCCGGAGGTGAACAACCCCGGCTTGTTCTCTGTTTCTCCGGACTTGACAATGTCCGGCACGACAACCTCCAAAAGTGGGGTATCTCAAGGAAATACCATTGACGCCAATATATTAGAAGGATTCCTCCCCCGCAGTGGACAACCTGTCTTGTTCTGTTAAATCATTCAAGATTTCTCAGACACCATCAAAATGTCCCCATCCGTTCTCCCCAACAAGACTTACAACATCGCTGCCATCCCCGCCGACGGCATCGGTCCCGAGGTCATCGAGGCTGGTATCACGGCCCTCAATGCCCTCAGCGAAACCCTCAACACTTTCAAGCTCAACTTTACCACCTACGACTGGAGCTCGGAGACCTACAAGAAGACCGGCAAATACATCCCCGACGGCGGTCTGGAAGAGCTGAAGAAGCACGACGCGATCTTATTTGGTGCAGTCGGTGCGCCGGGTAAGATCAATGATCAGTCTTTCGGATGTGCCCCTACTGATGATCGTCAGATGTCCCCGATCACATCTCCCTCTGGGGTCTCCGCCTCGCCATCTGCCAGCCCCTGCAGCAGTACGCCAATGTCCGGCCAACAAAAATCTTCCGCGGCACCGAGTCGCCTCTCCGCAAGTGCAAGACCGGCGATCTGGACTGGGTCATCATCCGCGAGAACAGCGAAGGCGAGTACGCGGGCCAGGGCGGACGTTCGCACCGAGGCAAGGCGTGGGAAGTGGCCACCGAGACGGCTATCTTCTCCCGCCACGGCGTGGAGAGAATCATGCGCTTTGCGTTTGAGACCGCGCAGAAGAGACCTCGTAAGCTGCTGACGGTCGTGACGAAGAGCAACGCCCAGCGCAACGGCATGGTCCTCTGGGACGAGGTGGCTGCGGAGGTCGCCAAGGACTTTCCCGATGTCACTGTGGACAAGATGCTGGTGGACGCGATGACCACGCGCATGGTTCTCAAGCCCGAGACGCTGGACACGATCGTGGCGACCAACCTTGTAAGTGGCCCGACCAGATTCGGCTATCTTGCCTGGCGACAGAAATACTGACCATGAAACACAGCATGCTGACATCCTCTCCGACCTCGCTGCAGGCCTTGCCGGGTCCATCGGCATTGCCCCCACCTCGAACCTGGACCCCACGCGGGAGAATCCCAGCATGTTCGAGCCGATCCACGGGTCTGCGTTTGATATTACCGGGATGGGAATCTCCAACCCTGTTGCGACGTTCTGGACTGCCGCTGAGATGCTGGCCTGGCTGGGCGAGGACGACGCGGCGAAGAAGCTTCTGGACTGCGTCGAAAATGTCTGTGAGATGGGCATTCTGACCCGCGATCTGGGAGGAAATGCTACCACAAGGGAGGTCACCGAGGCCGTGGTGGGGCAGATTCGGAAGTTGGCCGGTGCAAAGTAAGCATATCGGCTGTGAGAATTGAGACTATCCAGTGCGCGTATGGAGTAGATACGGATGGATATTACTAGATGAATACAACTCATACATCTTAGCACGCAGAAGATGATCAGCTGCTATTTATTATATACTAAAAATGATTTATACTTCAATTTGAATCCTTGTAAAAATTATACTGTACACTAGTTTGCTTACTAGGTACTAAGTTTTCCTACCATTGGCTCGTTTTGTCTAATGTCAAAAGTTTTGGCCATCCGCTATACGGTCTGGTAACAGCACCATATCTGTCTGTTTTCGGAAATCAGAAGTAATATTGCCAAAGCTACATGACATATGATATTGCCTAAGCTTACTTCACAATGACGCAGGTATTGCGGCCTATCTAGTAGTACTTATAATAACAATATAGACCTAAAGTAATCAAGCCTAGTCTCTATTTCATTTCATTTTATCCGTAGGTCAGCAGGAAAGAACTCTCTTATCCCTAGACCCTACTCAACACCATCATTATATTGCGAGGATGAAGTTCCCTTCTGATATATTAGGGCTGCTACCCTTTTCACTCAGTAAACAGAACCCGCAGTTCAGCGCTGAATTGGCTGGGAGCTCAATGCCTCAAGGCAGGCTAATGAGTTCTGGAGCTTTCATGTATGATACATTCCATGAAACCATTACTATTTACTAACTCTGAAACATAGTAAATCAGGCCAGCCTATTGCACCTTGCTGGAATGTCAACAATCCCCAGATTTTCAATATCACTGTGTGTGGTTCGGGCACTACAGCAGATGGCCAGCAGCTTACTACAGCCTTAAGTGATACTGCTTTACCCAACCCTATAGGCATTGGCCCCGCCCAAGATGATGCTTCGAATCAGTTCTTCATAGAGCCAACCATGGGGTTCCTTTGTGTTGCACCTACCCTTGGTGCTCCAATGCTACAGCTTTGCGTTGAAGAAGATGTCTGGTGTGTGGACCCCTACGGTATGGGACCTTGGGTCCAGGCAATTGGTTGGTGGGAAGGGAATCCTTTCCCTGACCAATTGCTCTCTTGTGCAGTTGACGAGAATCAACTATTGTCATGCAAATATGCTGGATATGACTACCTTGAACTTGGGCCAGAGATTTCCAACGATAACTGGCTTGATTGGTTTCCGTTACTTTCTAACAATTCAGGCCCTGGATCACAATATTTCACTACTAATGGAAGTTGTAATTAAATGCTTGTCAAGTTAAACACATTGGGGATCATGACAACTTGGTCAGGGACTAAGCAATGCATCCTGATTATTCTTACCCTTAAGCTATTGATGCCCCTACTTCGAAGCCTTATTGGCATACTGGCCTGTTGTGACCTGTAAATATCTACTCGAGATGCAAGCTTTATGCCGCACAATCAAGATCATCCAAGACATCCGAGAAAGACTAAAAGGAAAGCTTGGTCATTGGCGTTCTTGGCCCGATCCACCACACTCCATGCTGCAGCAATGCAGGATGCATCACTAATGATTCGGGAAGGTTCCGGGGGTTGAATGACCGGCTGGTGGGGACAGAGGGGGGAAAGAAAAATGTCCGACCTATGACCTTCGCTTCAATGGTCTGATCTGCCCCAACGCACGATGCTGTTACAAATCACAATGATAGTGTAATTCCCTCCAAAGATACGGGGCCAGTGCCTGGAGACCCCGCGAATGGGGAAGTCGGGGGATCAGAAATGTGTTGCTGAAAGTGACTCGTCTTGTCTCATCTCGTCTCCACAGGTCGATATAAAGGCCAGTCAATCCTCCCAGTGGACTGCAGTTGGAGAGACTCGTGCTCCATCAATCTCACCATGGCATCGGAATCTCCCAAATTTGTCGGACTCTCTGGAAAAGCCCTGCACTGGGCCCAGGTGGCTTTGATAGGCGCCCCTGCCTTCATCGTCTTTGGATACAACCAAGCCGGTGTTGGCCCCCTGGCGACTCTCCAGAGTTGGGTCGAGACCTTCCCTCAGATCGACACCATCAACACGACCGGATCTCTCGAAGCTCACAATTCCACCAGCAAGGGCGCTGTCATTGCCTCCTTCCAGATCGGAGCTCTCATCGGAGCCCTCTCTTGCACGCTGATCTCGGATAGGCTGGGTCGCCGGAAGACCATATTCCTCGGTTCTATCCTCGCAATTATCGGAGAGGTCCTCCAAGTGGCATCCTATGGATTGGCGCAGTTCGTCATCGGCCGTATTATACTGGGTATGGGGGTAGGTCAGTACAGCGTGGCTGTACCGGTATGGCAGTCGGAATGTTCTTCGGCAAAGAACAGAGGACAACACGTCATCATCGATGGTATCTTCATGTGTCTCGGATACTCGCTTTGCAACTGGATCGATTTCGGCCTGACTCGCATCCCCGAGAGCACGACGCAATGGCGGGTCCCGCTCGCCCTGTCGCTGTTCCCTGCCCTTGTAATCCTACTTTCTGTCTTTTTGCTCCCGGAATCACCGCGATGGTTGGTCCAGGTCAACCGCATCGAGGAAGCAAGCCACTCACTGGCGTCGCTAAAGGGAGTGTCTGCCACGGACGAGGCGGTCCGGGCCGAAATCGCTGGTATTGAATCGTCCCTCGAGTTGACTGCCCAATCGAAAGGCTCGTTGATGGAGATGTTCGATCCCAATGATCAGGAGCGGCTATTCTACCGATTCTGTCTTTGTATCGTTCTGCAATTCTTCCAGCAGATGTGCGGTGGTAACTTGATCTCCGTGTACGCCTCGACCATATTCGAGCAGAATCTCGGACTCAGCGCCAGTCTGTCCAAGATCCTCGCTGCCTGCGCATTGACCTGGAAATTCCTCTGCTGCTTCATCGCCTTCTTCACCATCGACCGCCTCGGCCGTCGAGTCGTCTTCATGATCAGTGGCACAGGTATGGCCATCTGCATGGTGGCTCTGGCCATCACCAACAGTCGTGGCGCAGATGACAAGGGCGCCTCAATTGGATCCGTCATCTTCATCTTCCTCTTCAATCTGTTCTACCCGATCGGCTTCCTGGGCGGTAACTTCCTGTACTGCACCGAGGTGGCTCCCGTGCGACTGCGTGTTGCCATGTCGTCCATCTCGACTGCGAACCACTGGCTGTGGAACTTTGTCGTCGTGATGGTCACTCCCATCGCGCTGGACACCATCGGGTACCAGTACTATGTCATGTACGCCGTTCTTTCGGCGTGCATCCCGTTGCTGGTGTACTTCTTCTACCCAGAGACGATGAACCGCAACCTGGAGTTGCTGAACCATGTCTTCCGGGATGCGACGTCCCCCTGGGATATTGTCTCTATGGCAAGGCATCTGCCTCAGGGAGAGGTAACCGAGGCAGAGCTGATGGAGATGAACAAGAAGGGCGACGGTTGCTCTATAGAGATGGCGGAGAAGGTCTAGTCGAAGTGATGATCAGCAGATACTCTGCCATATCCAACGTACATAGAACAAACTACGCGCTGCACCACGGTCTTCATACACAATTTACATTTCTTGGTAAGGCCCGTTTTGAGCGGAAACAAATATTCTGTATATATGGATGTCGGTATGGTGGACAGATAGCTGGTGATGACCTGCGTATCGGCGAAGGCGAGGGGCCAGTGTATGAATACAACAACAGCACCAGCAGCCCAGGGCAAATAAAAGTGCCACAATCTCAAAAAACCATAACCCTAGCCCCAACTGACAATACACGTTAGACGGTTTGTTTCAGCCTCTTCGCCATAAAAGTGTCTAGGAACTGAAAAGCCGCCCTCAGGTTCTGGATGGTAGCGCTCTCCAGCACCGATTTGCCTGCAGTCATGATAAACCTCTCAGGAGCAGGCAGGCTCAAGTATGGCTTAGCCCTGGACCGATGCGTCGCCCGAAACACCTATCAAGCATTCAACATCAGCACCGTCCCCGCACAATCGCCCATGCTGAAGAGGAAGAGAGGAACTCGCCCGCATTTGCTTAACAATCCTCAGCATCTCCCCCTCAACGTCCATCAACCCTCTCTCTCTCGCCACCTCGCGAAAACTATGCTCCCGCACGGAATCCACAAACTCCCGCTGCTGCACGGGGATATATCGCTTCATGTTCTCCTCCGTCAAGTACAGCGGTATCCCGATGAAAGCATCTATGATCATGGGCAGCAGGAGCTGGTTTCCCGATAGCCCGTCGTATTCGATGTATTCGCCATCGGCGGTGAGGTGGCCGGTGCCCCAGCCTTGAAAACCCTGGACATATGTCATCCAAATGCTGCGGGATATTTTAGTGTCTGTGAGAGTGTCGTAATAGATTTTGAGGGGAAAGCGGAGGTGGGTGTTAATAGCGCGGAGGTGGCGGAGTGTGGTGGGGATGTTACAAGAGGTAAAGGCGATGGTGGCGGCGACGATGTGCTCGTATATGGGAAGTGCCTTTAGCGTTGGTTAATGAGACCTGAAATGAGTGAAGGAAGCAGGGACATGAACCAATCTTTCCATGGCGGGGAAAATATGCCCGAAGTTATACTCGGCCGTCTTAATGAGATCGGACATCCCGTGGTTGATTTCGTATACGAGGGTCCCGTCCGTCGTGAAATTGCAGAAGTAATTCGATGTGACATTTCCACCAGCAGATGCCACACCGTATCGCTTCTGGAGGTGTGTCCAGGGGATGTCCAGTTCGGCGGGGAAGGAGATGAGCTTGTCTTGTTGGGCAGCCTTTACAACTGGAATGGTGGCCCATCTTTTCCATATTGTATTGGCTTTTTGTTCGGGCGGGGTTGGATATGGAAAGGGACGATTACTGTACCTATAGGCATGTCTAGAAATGGCAATGCAGCCGAAGAACCCGTTCCACGCGTCTGCTGAGACCTTGTCCTGGCCGGAGCCGAGAATATTCTCAACCGCAGCGAGGTTGATTCGCTCGCGCAGAAGCGTCTTCATCCTCGTTCTGAAAGCGTCGATGCGGACCGCGTTAGCTCTGTCATCGCAAAGAGCCTCTGTTGTTGGCAGGAGCGGTGCCAGAGTGAGGTAGATGTCATGATACGCCTGCAGGGGCGCTGGCCAGGCATCGCCGTGCGTGGCACAGGGGGGCCAGGTACCCGCGCCCGCTTTCTCGATCAAGATATTCAGTTTCTCAGCCGTCTCATGCGCATGTTGGAGAGCTCTGATTCGAGAGAGACAGGCCTCTGGTGCCTCCGAGGGAAATTCATCACCAGTTGTTGAGGTCGTTGGAAACATGTGAGCGGCTTTGGCTGAGTTGAATAGATGGGAGGAACAAAGGTAGATTAGCCATGCCAGAAGAGCAAGAACATAAGGGGCAATTGACCAGGCGATGGTGAAACTTGGTAATGAGGTAATAGGGAAATTTGGCATGATTGCTTGAAGGCTGTCCATGGAGATGGAGTTCGACTGATGATCGTCTTGATATAGTTGATGAACCAATTCATTGATATCTAGGAAGTTTGAGGTTGGGAATTTGATCTCTGGAAAGAAGCGCAATGACCGGATTTGCCTAAAAGGAAATCTAACGTAAGCTGTAAAGTGTAAGAAGAGCATGTGATAATTTAGCAAGGGGCTCGAGCCTGTTATAACACTGACACCATAAGATAGATGTGATAGGTAGAATTAGGAGATAATAACCACTAATCAGTCTCTAAAAGCTAAATTCTTATGGAGTGTTTTAGCCTAGAGTGCCCGCTGGGTTGTAAGGACCAGACCTTCTTATTTGATTAATCGAGGATTGATTTGTACGTCCAGTGACTTTGATAAAAAGTTCATAAGAGGACGACAGGTAGGCTTCAGAAGAACATGCTGGTCTCTTTTTGGCGAGGTACCATAACAGGATCTATCAGATTGGCCAACACCTCATCTCCTTTCTGTAGCTCTAACAGGAGCCTTTATTAGAGATAATGCAGAGTGGGCTATTACTAGTGTTATATAAGCTTAGAGCTTCCTAGCTTAACATGACCTCTATAAGTATTAGGAATTATGTAAGGCTGGGATATACTCTCTGGTTGAATATTGATCATATACAACGCGATGAGGAAAGCTTTCCCTGGATTGAATCCAGGGATCTCGCATCCTTGGACAAGTCCAGATGCTTAGACGGTCTAGTGACGCCAATTGGTCATGCGAACGTTTGCAGTTCTCAATCATACACTTATGCACTTCATGGAAAACCTATTTGAGGAAACACCCAGGAGTTAGGCAGTTCTGTATGGGGCAAACGCCATTTCTTTAGCGTGCATGCTCTTATGTGCTTCGAATTGCCTAGTCACTAAAATCTCACTCCTTGCGATTAAATCATATATTAAGATGGTCAGAGATATCTGCTCCAAATTCGACGCGCTTGAGGCTGATAGGAAGATATCTTGCGTACCCCTACCAGCCATGATGTGCACTGGAGAAGCTGTCCTTGCAGTCGGATATCTCAAGCGGACGTATGGGCTAGCCTTTCAGTTCGATGAAGAGCCTTTCCGACGCGTGCTTATCTACGCTCTGAAAACTTGGAATCTTGCCGGTATGTTTGTTCTTTTTTGCCGAAGATGTTCCAGAAGGGTGGCTGATCCTACGAATATGAAGATGAGTACCTCCGACGGGCAGCGGAGGCAACCCAGGATTAAGTATTGTGATTCTCTCTTCATTAGTGCTCTTTTAAGAACTTTCTATCACAAATTGCTCCTCTGGCGTGAAGTCACACATCGTCCATCTCAAATACCACGTCACTGAGGGTTACACCTCCTGTGTCTTGCTGATGACGTTGAAAAGTCCATTCAGCAATCTTATCCTGACCTTGAGCATGAGCTTTTTGTCAATCAGCTTCTTGATCCGTCTCTTTCACCGAGGACATGACTTGAGCGGTGCTCCAACGACTCGAAGCTAGTGCTTTTAAATGGTTTCAACCTCTTAGTCCGGGCTGCCTGCGCTCGATCTGGAACCACCTCGATACCTATCTCATCATTCACCCATACGAATATCACGTTCATCCTCCCGGTCCTTCCTTTGTCGTTGATGACTGGATGTTTTAGACATCTCTTTGTAATCCCAAGCAGCCCATTATGTTAGCCTTTTATTGCTATATTCTGCCACTATTTCATCTCTGAGCCGAGATCGGAACTAGACCCTGCTTCCTCCACGGAGGAATCAACTTCACGATCAAAATCTAGACCTTCTTGTGGAATACAGTCCGTGATGGTAGACTGAAGCAATTAAACAGATCGCTTGATCTCGATGTAGGAAATATTTGGTTAATTCTCGTCCACCCTAGATTCCCGGTGTTATTTGCAGACAAGATCTCAAGTGCAAAGGTCATGGCGGATGTACAGCCCGTGGTGGTTCAAATGTATATGCAAGTACCCTGATAGATACCCACCTCTACGAGGCCAAAGCAACGTGTCTGCCCCGCTGCGTGCCATGGGAAGCTCCAACTTGACGGGCCGTTGGCCGTGGCGGTTTTGGTTAACAACAGGAGTGGGGGAAATCCGGCCCACTTTGGCTGTCAACTGGACCGGTAAGATCTGTAGAGGCAAAGAGCTGTCAGTCATTCGATCGAGAGGAGAGCTTTTGTTCATTTCAGGGGCTGACTACAGCTGAGATATATTAGATGGGAATCTTTCCTGTCGGAACGCCAGGCCCAGACAGCAGAGTCACTTCAGTCACTGCACGTCTAGTTTCGACTCGCTTGATTCCCCGGGATAGGATACGATGGCTCACAAATCGCCGAGTGCCAATGGTAAGGAAACGTTGATCAAGCGCGTCCCTGCGTTTGCATTTTTCGGACGATTATCCCCTATTTCTGACCTTGTCGGTGCCAGCTATTGTCGTCGACGGCAAAACCTTCGCCCTTAACGGCCTCAATGTTTCCTACCGGTTCCACGTTGACGAGAGCACCGGCGATCTGCGCTCTGATCACTTCGGCGGCAGCGTCAATGGGCCTATCCCCGATGACCCAGCTCCCATAGTCAATGGCTGGACTGGTATGCCCGACCGCGTACGCCGCGAGTTCCCTGACCAAGGACGGGGAGATTTTCGAGTCCCCGCCGTCCGAATCCGCCAGTCACAGGGACATACCGTTTCAGCTTTTCAGTACAATTCCCATACGGTGGTGAAGGGCAAGCCTGCGCTGCCTGGCTTGCCGGCGACATTCGGTACAGAGGAGGATGTCACGACGCTGGTGGTGCATTTGTATGACCAGTATAGCGAAGTGGCGGCGGATCTAATGTACTCAATGTTTCCAAAGTACGACACTATTGTGCGCAGCGTGAGCATCACGAACAAGGGCAAAGGCACAATTTCGATTGAGGCACTAGCGAGTTTGAGTGTGGATTTACCATGTGAGGATCTTGATATGATTGGGCTCAGGGGGGACTGGGCACGAGAAGCGCACCGACAGAGGCGCCAGGTGGACTATGGCATACAGGGGTAAGTCGGCCATACAATCCATAAGACCAGACTATATTGACTTACCTCAAAAGTTTCGGAAGTACAACAGGCTTCTCATCCCACTTGCACAACCCCTTCGTCGCCCTGGCGCATCACTCTACAAGCGAGTCCCAAGGCGAGGCTTGGGGTTTTTCACTGGTCTACACCGGCTCCTTTGCTGCCAACGTTGAAAAGGGCTCGCAGGGATTGACACGTGTGTCTATGGGTTTCCATCCAGACCAGCTATCCTGGCCCTTGGCGCCAGGGGAAACACTCACCTCTCCCGAGTGTGTATCTGTATACTCAAAAGACGGTCTAGGGGGCATGTCGCGATCTCTGCACCGCCTGTATCGCAACCATCTTATGAAGAGCAAGTTTGCTACGGACAACCGACCCGTCCTGCTGAACAGCTGGGAGGGTTTGTATTTCGACATCGACCAGGAGAACATGTACCGCATGGCACAGGAATCTGCGGCGTTGGGTGTGAAGCTCTTCGTCATGGACGACGGGTGGTTTGGCGACAAGTACCCTCGAATCTCAGACGCAGCCGGTCTGGGCGACTGGATTCCCAATCCAGCACGATTTCCCAATGGACTCGCCCCTCTTGTCCAAGACATCACCTCCTTGAAGGTTGCCAACTCGTCGGAGACTCTCCGCTTTGGTATCTGGGTTGAACCTGAAATGGTGAACCCGGAGTCCAGCCTCTACCGCGAACGCCCGGACTGGGTCCTCCACGCAGGCCCATATCCACGCACCGAACAACGCAACCAGCTTGTGTTGAATCTCGCTCTACCCGACGTACAAGAATTCATCGTCGAAGCCATCGCCAACATCCTCAACAGCGCAGACATCGGCTACGTGAAATGGGACCATAACCGGGCCATCAACGAGACACCCTCCCCCGCCGCAAACCACGCATACATGCTTGGAATGTACCGCGTCTTCGACACCCTCACATCACGCTTCCCCGATATCCTCTGGGAAGGATGCGCGTCTGGTGGCGGACGCTTCGACCCGGGGGTTCTACAGTACTTCCCTCAGGTCTGGACATCGGATGACACCGACGCCGTGGAACGTATTTTCATCCAGATGGGTACCTCGCTAGTATACCCCGCCAGTGCAATGGGGGCACATGTCTCCGCCGTGCCTAACCACCAGACAGGGCGAACCATCCCGCTCACCTTCCGAGCGCACGTTGCCATGATGGGTGGGTCGTTCGGCCTTGAGCTCGACCCGGTGAAGATCCTCCCTGAAGAGAAGGCCGCTGTGCCGGAGCTGATTGCGCTGGCGGAGAAGGTGAACCCGGCCGTGCTCAAGGGTGATATGTGGAGACTTAACCTACCCGAGGAGTCAAACTGGCCTGCTGTGCTGTTCATCTCGGACGATGGGGCAGAGGCTGTCTTGTTCTTCTTTCAGCTTGGCCCGAATGTCAATCATACGATGCCGAGGGTGAGATTGCAGGGGTTGGACCCGCTGGCTATGTATCGCGTCGACGACCAGGGGCCGTATTCGGGCAATATGCTGATGAATCTTGGATTGCAATATTCGTTCAGTACGGATTATGCCAGCAAAGTCGTCTTCTTGGAAAGGGTCAATGTGTAATCGGCTATTTGTCAATGCCACAGATTGGCACTACATCCAGCTACTATAAACTGATATTTACCGAACCTTCCAATTGGGTCCAACGAAGCTACAGCTGCGACTAATTTAATGTTAACATCAGGGAAATTGCATATGGTGTAGAGAGAATAGGGATCTCACAATGGCCAGGTTACTCGAGTAGCTGGAAAACAGTCGGATGAGGGAATACTAGAGGCATGCCTGGGAATCCTGTTTCTCGCAGAACTAAAACACCATCTTCAATAGGTTGCAAAAGCCCAAGGCTAAAAACTCAACTCACATCCCTTCGTTTCACAAGCCCCCGCACCGAGTGAGGCTATGATTTATCTTACTTGAAGTGCGTTGCAGCAGCAGTAGTAGCAGGTTAAATGATAACATCCTTTTCAAACACTCCATTCGCGTGTAGTGCCATAGTGATGGCTTGACTTTCACCAATGTAGAGGATTATGAATGGTATGTAGTAAACAGTAAATACCTTAGTCTTTGGAGGCGCTTTGATAATCGGCAGATTCCTTCCAAGCCTTATGCTTGTCCTACCATTTTGTAGGCGCGAGGCCCCGGCATGTCCGATACTGGCCAGTCTTGTAGAAATATATATCTCAGCCATGGTGCCACAGATGGACACCGCTGTTGTGTAGCCAGTTCATGCACATCTTTGAGGCATTGTTCTAGCCCATTGAGTTATTCATCGAAGGATTCCACGGTGATATCTCTGTTTCCTGATCTTGCCATTCCGACCATCCTGTTGTTTACTGCGTTCTGCCTCAGGCAGCAACACCAGCCACATTGCCATCGGATACTGTGAGTATGTGACCTAGTAGCCAGTGAAGAATAAAATCTTGCTGGATTGAGTCTAATACAAGATACATCTATCTTCCTGATCTACTCAAGAGCCAAACAAAGTGCAGGTGATTGTTTTGATCAAAGGTCGCAGGTAATACTGTAACACACGACGTCATATGCTCCACACGGAAAAGAGACGCGTTGGGCTTTGCTGATATTATCACCTGCCATTCCGTTCCAGGACCGCCACAACTCGGTCGGGAATACGACTCGACTTTCGAAATGACACCTCGATATCGGTCGATTCCACACGAGACAGACTGGTTACTGCGACCTGGGAACAGTAACAACACTGCGCCAACAAAGTCGCGTTCCCACCGGATCGCCGCCCATCTGACCTCGGAAATCAACCCTCACTATGGAGATCTACTGCTCTTGTTCTGCTATGTCATTACCGGTCTACTTGACAGTTCCGCAGTGTTTATCTGGGGCTCCTTTGTGAGCATGCAAACAGGCAACACCGTGTACCTGGGCCTGGGTCTGATCGGAGTAGACGAGAGCACCCGCTGGATCAAAGCCGGCGTCTCCATTTTCAGCTTCTGCCTGGGGTCCTTCTGCTTTGCCTCTTTCCACCGGCGGTTTTCGTCGCGACAGCGCTGGGTGCTTTGTGCTTCATTCACCGTCCAGATGCTCTGTGTAGCAGTCGCGGCGACCATCGTGACCGTTCACCGTCCATCCAGAGACTCGGAATTCGGTTGGAAAGTCCTCGCGCCTCAAGTTCTGGTCGCGTTCCAGAGTAGTGGACAGGCTGTGACGAGCCGCGTCCTGCAGTTTAATGGGTTAACCAGTGTGGTGCTTACCAGTATCTACTGTGATTTCTTCTCCAACCCCAAGTTTCCGTCGCTTTCTGCGGTCGAGGAGAGGAGGCGCGCGGGCGCGATTGGCTCTTTAGTCCTTGGAGCGGTTTTAGGAGGCCTCTGGGCTAAAAGCCCGATTGGATTGATGGGAGCTTTGTGGACGGCAGTTCTATTTAAGGGGCTGATTGCCGTCGCCTGGCTGGGATGGAAAGCACAGCAGGTTGATGATTGCGAGTGCACATGATGTGCATGATTCTTGGCGCCAGAAGATCTCAGTAAGGCACGATAACCGTCAAAACGTCATGCAGGAATTGAAATTCTGGCATCTTCCATTATCCGTGGTTGTGTCTGCCGCTATATCGACCCAGGATCGTTTTTAGGGGAGGAACCATGGGTTGGAACGCCATGGCGCGACAGCCATTGATATCATCATTCTAGCCTCGTCAAACATCTCAAGACCCAGATTTATTGCCTATAGCTTTATCATACTGTCCATTGTGCAGCATGGCAAAATACAAGTCAGTAATGCTTCAATAAAGAATATGGATGGACCACCCAAACTCCACGCATTCCGAGGGCGCTGCGCATCCAGCGTATCTGGAGCAGTCCAGGGTGTCTAGTATTATCGCCTGCAACGTTATTTTGTTGGCTGTCATCACTGTCGCTGTCGCTGTGCGCCTGTTTGTACGATATCAATATTTCAAGGTTCGTTCTGATGACGGTAAGTCATACTACTCTGCTCGATCACCAACTCATAGGCTTGCTGGGCTAATCCCTGCCAGTTCTTTGCTTCACAAGCTGGGTATGGTCACGTATACCACGATAAGTGCTGTGTACATATGCTGATTGAGAATCGACAGGTTTTCACATTTGTCCTGTGTTTTGTCGCAATGTGGAGTATGACAGCTGATCCCCGGTCTCGCCTGATTCTAACATGGACTCAGTGACTAGATATGGCTATGGAAGACATTTTGAACTGATCGCGCAGCATCCGTCCACCATCTCCATGTTTCTCAAGGTAAGTTCCTCACTCGTCCGCAGGGACCTCCCGTTGACATCTGGTAGCTTGTATTTGTTTCGAAATTAGTTTATATAATTGCTCTGAACACGATCAAGATGTCGTTCTGCGTCTTGTACATGCACATATTTGTGCCCTCGCGGGTCCTCAAATCATTGTGCATCGCCTTGATTGTACTGCTGATTATGGAGTGCATTGAAGAGATGATCGTGGTCATTCTACAATGCCGACCTGTCCAGAAGGCATGGGATGCAACAGGCAGCATCCACGGTCAATGTCTGAATATCACCGCATTCTACTATGCCAGCTTCGGCATCAAGTTAGCGACGGACATAGCAATCTTCGTTCTACCAATTCCTCCCTTGCTCCGGCTCAGAGTCAGCGGACCCCAGAAGTTCGTTGTAGTCCTAATGTTCGCACTGGGGCTGCTGTATGGAGACCCTTTTGAATTGCTTCAAAGCCTTTACTGACCAGATCATCCAGGGTCTGCGTGACGAGCATCATTCGCGTGACTTATATCCAAAACTTCGATCCAGATCATACATGTAAATCCTCTCACTCCTTGGGAGAGTTTCCACTAACCAACCACATCAGGGATCCTAGTTGCTCCCCTCAACTGGTCAGCGGTAGAAATCTGCGTGGCAATATTTATATCCTGCCTACCCTCAGTCAAGACTTTGATTTCGCTCCATTGGCCCACAGCCAGCCGCAATCGCAGCCACGCCAGCACAAGCACCAGGGACAGCAACATCGATTCTCTGTCCACGCGTATTCGCACCTTTTTCCTGGGTAGATGTAAAGAGGCAGATCAGGAGCATCGGCATATGTCACCTAACGGATTTACATGTGACGATATTCCTCTTCCCGAGACCCATGTGCGCGCGGTAAAGAGCGCTTTTCGGTAATGTTGCTGGGGCAGCTATGACAATGTGGCCTCAGTTGTGCTGCCATAGTAAGTACAGCGCAGGAACCGAATTACCAGGACTTTACAACGTCAAACCTGTACAAGTTCGTCAACGAAATATCCTCCAAACCACTGCGTGACGGTGCTTTGCTCTGGGTAGTTTCTGGATGAGCACTGGTCTCTTGTATCATCTAGTGGTATGTGACCCCAGTCCTGAAGGGGCGTGCAGATTAGCTAATAGCTGACAGGCAACTGGAGCTCCTCAATATCAACATGAGTAGGTTATCCTCTTAATAGGAGTGAGTCGTGTATGATATCAACCTAGCGAAGGATCGTACAGGTGAACTACCAACTCATGACGCTTATTGGCGCATCATTAGCCGGACTTCGCGCAGCGGACATTTTACCCCTCTTCTGAAACCAGATTTCTCCTCCTGGTCAAGGAAATCCCCTGGAGACACCGGTGACTGGAGGTCATCATCATGATGCCGCTGCGAATAATTACACTGGAAAGCCATGCTCTTCGAGTCAAAGTCCTTATTGACAAATATGGGGCAGCTTTCCTACAAGAGGTGCTCCCTCTTCCCGGCACTTCGCCGAACCCCGTGTCCAAAAATTTCAGTGACTCGTATGCGCCCTTGGTAGAGGTGCGGCTGGCCGGAGAAGGAACAGAAAGAAACAAATCCTCGAAGAGCCTTGTCGGAAGCTATGTCGGTGCTCGTCTGCGATATCAGTCTCATGAGTTCGATAACGGCGCAGACACCCAGACACTCCATATTCGACTAAAAGACGGTATATCCGGGGCGCTCGTGACCTCGCACCTCACCATTTACGAGGGATTCCCCGTGCTACGTGCAACGGCTAGCGTTCGAAACGATGGCGACAAAGACCTCTTCGTGACGCAGCTCACGTCGCTAGTTCTCGGTGGGCTATCGGCGGGTTCGGAGAGATGGTGGCACGAGTACAAACTCTCCGTACCGAACAACTCGTGGTTCCGAGAAGCTCAGTGGGTTGAACATGATTTGCCCAGTCTTGGAATTGATGATTACGGTGTCTACGGACGGCCTGAGTATCATTGGGGAACGCTGGGGCACTATTCGGTGTCGAACCGCTGCACCTTTTCCACGGAAGGACATCTTCCCATGGGACTTCTGAAGCGTGTGGACAACAGAGATACCTGGCTCTGGCAGGTGGAGAACAATGGCTCGTGGCGATGGGAGATAGGCGACTGGAAGGACAGCATTTATCTGGCTGCTGGTGGACCGGTAGAGACCGAGCATGACTGGAGGGAGAGGCTCGCCCCGGGAACCGAGTTTACGACCGTGCCTGTAGCTCTGTGCCACGTCCAGGACGACCATGAAAAGGCTTTTGCAGCAATGACCCGGTACAGACGCCGGATAAGGCGTCAGCATCGAGACCATGTCCGACTACCGATCATCTTCAATGATTACATGAACTGCTTGATGGGCGACCCTACTGAGGAGAAAATATTGGCGCATGTAAATCCTGTAGTCAAAGCAGGGGCGGAGTACTTTGTGATTGACGCTGGCTGGTATGCCGACGACTCCGGTCGGTGGGACGATGTTGGGCTGTGGGAGCCATCTCAGAAGAGGTTTCCATCGGGATTCAAAAGCCTCCTGAGTCAGATCCGGGATAAAGGACTGATACCGGGGCTTTGGATTGAGCCTGAAGTCATTGGAGTCCGCAGTGTTGTGGCCAACCAGCTGCCAAACGAAGCGTTCTTCCAGCGAGATGGGCATCGCGTCGTGGAGAAGAATCGATATCAACTTGATTACCGCCATCCTGCCGTTCGAGAACACATGAGCGCCGTCATCCATCGTCTTGCTACCGAAGATGGCGTTGGGTACTTCAAGTTCGACTATAACATCGATGTCACCCAAGGGACAGACATCGACTGCTCAAGTCCTGGCTCCGGCCAGCTGGAGCATAACCGCGCTTATCTGCGCTGGGTAAATGAATTGCACGATCTCTCCCCCGGCCTCGTGGTCGAAAACTGCTCCAGCGGTGCCCAGCGAATGGATTACGCCATGTTGGCGGTCCACGCTCTCCAGTCGTCGAGCGACCAGCAAGATCCAGACCGCTACCCGGCCATTGCATCGGCTCTCCCTACCGCTGTTGCTCCAGAACAAGGAGCAATATGGGCCTACCCGCAGCCGGCATGGGATGATGAGCTCAATGCGATGACAGTGGTTAATAGTCTCCTGGGCCGCATCCATCTAAGCGGACGTTTAGATCTTCTCCAGCGGGAGCAGTTTGATTTGGTCAAAGAGGGCATGGACGTCTATAGAGCTATACGGGCCGATTTGCCCACTGGAACCGCATTTTGGCCTCTGGGTCTTCCACAGTGGCATGATGATTGGTTCTCACTCGGTATTGCTGTGAAGAAGCGCGATGACAATGCTCATGAGCGTTATTACCTTTCCATTTGGAGACGAGGTGGTCCCGAGTCCATTGACCTGCCCATCAGAGGACTCTGTGGTAGGGCTGTTAGCAGCGAGATTCTTTATCCTACCATGCTTCCCGCGACGATCAAATGGGTGTCTAACCCGGGTTTATTGAAAGTCACCATCCCGTCCGAATTGGGGGCTCGGTTTGTCAAGCTGACAGCGGAGTAATTTGGTGACTCTGGATCAAGAATGGAGAGACGTGCGGCATAGGCAGTGCGAGCTCTATATACTGGTGAAGAGTTTAGGGGGATCAAGCTGGTTTAAGCGGGATCATTATTCGAAAAGTTGAAACTGAACGAGAAGATCGACGCAGAGTCCGATGTCACAGAGAGGGCATCGTGGCTGGCTCCTTTGCCGATGACAGCCCAGAAGAAGCAGTTGTAGGATTGGGGTTGCGGTATCATATTGAATCTTATTTATCATCCTCTGACCTCCACTAGCTATCTGGCTCCATGGAGGAGAGTTCTAATTGATATGGCGCAGGAATACTCTTTGTTAAATATTGAGTGATTCAACAGAGCTATCACGCTACACAATCTACAATTCTATGACCCGGGGAAAGGCCACGGGAAGACCGTGCAGACCTACTTCTTAGTAGAAGCTCAAGGCTTGATAGTATCACACTGTCAAATAATGGGATGCAATTTAGGACTAGTCTTGCCTATAATGAATTCCGGGATAATCGACGCAGTAAGGAAAAGCTCACAAATCTCACAAAGCTCAGGGGATCAGAACCCCAAGGGATAGCATCCTCAAAAAAGATGAAAGTAAAAGAAGCACTAAATCACAAGCTCAGTCACTAATCAACGGAAGTCCTCAGGCTACCACCATGTGCCTGATCCCCCTTCACATCCACTCTTCCTTGACGCCGGCGAGAAATTCCCGAATGGCCGCCTGGTCACTGTGGATGTGCAGCGTCTGCTTGCCTTCCACAAAGGTGACAGGAGCACACTGACCGTCAGGCATGTACTTGTAGAAGCGCACGTAGGGCCCGATTGCGATTAGCCCATAGATGGCGCTCTTCCGGTCGTCAGGAACACTCTGCAGCGAACGACGGAGGTCCTGCTTCAGAAAGTGCTCGTTTCCCTCCCAGGAGAAAGCCGAGCCGTCAGCTGGGGCTGCCGCGAAGTTGACCTGAAGAAAGTGGACGCCCGTATTGAAACCCTGAGTGCGTACGACGGAGCCTAGGCCCAAGTCACCATGAGTATTCAGGTCAAGATTGATACAGTAGTCAGTGCCTTGGAAGGGGAACTCGGCATACCCGTTAGTGGGGAAGAACCTCACCAGGATGTTCTTCCACATTTCGGCCACCCCTCTCATGCTGGCGGGGCGCAGGGAGAGGTGGCTAACAACCGTGACCAATTCAGGGACGTTGAGGGACTAGATCAGTTGGTTAGTATATTGCATAGTTCGGGTATGGGGAGGATTGGACTTACCATCATTTTCGCAGAAAGATGCCCGGTCGACAGGAAGTTCGAAAATTAGACCAGAATCAATTAAGCGTAGGGAGATCAGTTGATCGAGGAGGAAATCGCTCTGAAAACAGAGATAGTTGTAGGAGAAAAAGAATCTTGCCATCACTGGTAGATGACTGACTTTTATATGTGTTTTCCAGGGAGACGTTCAAGGTTCCAACTTGTTGTCTCAAGTTCGCAAACCAAGACAATGCCATTGTTTCCAAACATCGTGTTGGATCTGAGACTTGGCGGATGAGACAATAGAACAAGGAGATGAAGCTATTGTTTCTCCAATCCTTGTTCCTTGTCTGAGACCATCGTGGAAATTCAGTGGAGAGTTGTATTTTGTCTATACCAGCTGTCCTCGTGTCAGATACTGAGTAAGACAACCAGATGTGTTAGTCTTTCTTCAACATCGGAGAGGAGCTCCATGTGTTCTAACTCCTGAAGATAGTGAAGATCTGAACCGCTCAAGCCAGTGCGGGTACCTTGATAGAGTGTGGCAAAAAGCTTGCTATAATCTCTACAGTATCTTGGATAGTAATAATGTTCATCACTGAAGTAATCGTATTCATCGGTTAAGAGGCCAATAACAGCCAGAACCACAGAGTTCCGACTTCTGATGACAATCTTAGGGAAACACCTTGATCCATCCTTAGCCTAGTCCGCATTCCACAAGGGAGTCACCGAGAAGCCTTTGACACCTGTCGAAAACGTCAAGCAAGTGCCCTGGTTGTCCTGTGTGAAGGTCGCAACCGGGTCACTTGTACAATCTTCATCGGAGAACCCTATAATCTCCCAGCCTTGGTTGTTCACCGAGTTGCCGCATGCCCAGGAGTAATCTACCCCGAGGTTGAGATAGAAGCAGCTTGTTGGGCGGTTCAGCGTGATGGTCCCTCCATATATGGCGCACGAGTTGTTTTGTGTTGACACCTCAAGCTCCACCTCAAAGTCCGAGGGAACGGAATACGAGGAATCCGCTGGGACAGAGGTGATGGCTCCAGTGAGGTTTGAAAGGAGGTGCCCGTCGTAGTTGGCGATATGTTCCTCTGCAAAGATATCAGAGGGATAAAATAACACCTGTCTGAGGGCCTTACCTAGATTCAATGTTGTGGTGCTGTACGGGGACGCTGAGCCTTTGCAGGAGCACTGCAAAGTTGATCCGCTGTTGGTGAGCGAGCAGTCCTTGCAGGAATTCCAGTAAGCTCCGCTGCGAGTCTGTCAGTAGGTACGGGTCCACAGACAAGGGATGGACGTACTCGATGGCCCACTGTACATGTGTTAGTCTTGGTCAGAGAAAATAAGCAATGATGACAGTTGAGCACTCACCTCGAGCACAGCATTACTGTTGGCAATCTTGTTCGGCAGATAGACACTGCTAGTGATGCTGTCATTGCCGTCATCCTTGGGACAGGTTGCAACTAGCCAACTTTCGTTGAGATAGATATCAGAACACTCTTCACTGTATCCCTGGGCAAGGACAAGTGATGCACTTAGGGCAGTCAGCAAAGCAAGGGCTGTGCCGTGCATGGTGACAGATTGCTTCTTGGGAAGGGAAAGAGTAAGACCGGAGGTGGTCCTTCACCTTTATATCCGCACTCTTCACCAATTAATCAAGCACTGGCCATAGGTCAACGATGTTGGTCAGCGATTGATAAGCTCTAAAGCATACAGTCCATCCAACTCCGAGCATTCAAAGTTGATCCTGAGTGGTGGCACGGACTTTCGCCAGATCCTTTGGATGCTTATACCCACATGCTAAGCAGTTATGACCCCGCTTATTATTATTGCTCGGCTGAAAAACTCCGAAGTCAGGAGCCTAGACGTGACAGACTCTTCTGCAGCTATGCTCAATCATGCCATGATTCCTTGCGCTAGTCCAGTCGAGTGATTCCTTTTCCTCGAAGCCGCGTCATCAAGCTTGGCTGTCAGCATAAGCTTAATTAACGTCCTTCGGGACAAACTTGCCTTTTTCCTTGCGCACTCGCTAATATTTTTGACAACGAACCAATGGCCCTGGATTAATCCATCACACAGGGACGCTATTGACTAGTGGTACCTCAATTGCGGCTGAACGGCTGCAAGTTGCAATCCTTAAACCTAGCATCAACTATTAGCCATTACTTTGACGTAATGAGCTATATTCCATTAAATATTGATAACTTAAATGTTCAACCGCCAGATGCATGTTGAGCGGGGAGTGAAGCTGGTTGGCTGGGTGTTTATACCACAGTACTACTAGTACTGCCAGCAGTAAAGCAGCAGACGACCGCAGGAGGAGACCCATCACTGTACCGGAAGTGTAAAGGGCTTAAGAGTAATCTAATATTAATTGATAATTTTCTTTGTTTATCTTCTTTCATAAATATTCTTAAGCCTCAATTATCTAACTAGATAGGTAAAGATACTTGATATAATTATGGATTTATAACACTACTACTAGTACTACAGAAGAAGCAGTAAGAGTAAATATGTCTGTCTAAACTTAACAGGATTAACTCGTTACGAACTAGTTGAAAGCCTCTAAAAGTTATCCTTATTATATATAAGAAGAGGTAGCCCGCCATCATAGTAGAAATCATTGTCATCCAAACCTAGAAGTAGTTAGGCCATGGCTGTGGGAGGTTGCGTGGACGCATGTCCACCATTGGAGTGTGTAGACTCGCGCTGGGCCCACAGATTAACCACCTCGAGACCGATGGCGAAGAAAGTGAAGATGCTGAATATGCAGGTCAGCTAAGGAGGCATGAGGTATAGAACAGTCACTTACAAGGCAAGGAAGATAAACGACTCATTAGCTTTCTTAATGGCGCAGTTGGCACCTGGGGGTGCATTAACAGCACAATCATGCCAGTTGTAGTCTTGGGCTGCAAAGACAAATGCAGTCAACCAGCTGCACTAAATGTTAATGCGTAGTTATCCCCGAATGTCCCAAGAGCAACACATACAGATAAGAGAAGATGATGTCGATGGGCAAGACGAACATGCTTAGTTTATTAGGGATAAACGGCGAGACAAACCCTGGAAGAAAGAAAGCCACAGAAATTGTTGACTAAATAAATCAGCTCAGATACAATGCACAGAGAGAATAAGATGATTGTTTGCGTACAATGACTTCCCAGTAGATGGTATGCTCTCCCTTGGGCCAGTTATGGATGAAGTAGGATGTGATACCCATGACAATGACTGCACTAGACCATTGCATAAAGCGAGTGAGAAGAACGATGGGACGAGTGACTGTCGTCGACAGCATGATGGCTGCAGTCCAAGTGAATCGAGAAAATTATGATGGAGCAAGGCTATGCAGATAGGCAGCTGGCGAACTGGTATCGCGATATTTCCAATAGTTATTCAAAACTAGTTCCTAGATGACGGGGGGATGTCAAAAAAGACATATCTTCTTATGTCCTACTCATCCAATTGTGAAGCAATTATGACATACACTGTCATTAAGACCTCCGTCACTCTTCAACCCTACATGGTGTGGATCTCCGTCATATCTACCCCATCTGCTTGTCAGACTGACGTTGAAAAGTGGTCCTATCTGCCAAAGCACTGTATTTTCGCGTGCCGGCATTTTCTTCATTGCGGCAGAAAGCCAAACTTACAGGGCTATTAAGGCGACCTTAGCCTGGGAGCACTCGGCAGCCAATTTGCAACTCAGCCCCGGGAAATCCGAGTTCCTTTGATGCTAGACAGTAATTACAGGACCGGTAGGTGTGGTAATCGTTACATTTCCAAATGGTAATATAATTGAACAGAGATACATGCACATTATGACTTTCCATTGGAATGAGCCCACAACCTCTTGATGACTGCCAATTTGTGTATCTTCTTGTGGTAAAAAATATTCCTCATTTTAGTGAAAAGATATTTCCCGGGAGGCGCTTGATTCTGCGATCTCTTGCATGACTGACAATGTAATATCAAATATTCGTTGCGGGACCGTGGTTTGAATCCCACTTTCTGGCGGCATAGAGGGCAACCGTTCCCTCTACGACTTACCCAGTCAGTTATACATGGTGAGTGAAAGTAGTGATCGCACGCGAGCTGGCTGTATGGTGAGCCTGGCTCGAGGTCTTCCAGACAGAAAAGACAAGTTTTAGGTAGTGTCTTCGAATGTTGTCAGTAAACGGGCCAAGGCAGAATACATGCCTAACAATCAACGAAGTTGCTCACCATATTGTGTGGACTGTCGATGGCGGCGTATATGTTTTCTGTCATTTCCCGATATACGTCAAATACAAAACCTCTTGATTAAAGGTGGTGGAGTCCCAAGCGGTGCAGCTCAGGCAAATATAAGATGAACCCTTGTCCTAGCTGATAACACCGTCGTTGTGGCAAAAACCGGTGATGGGATGACATTACATAGTAGAGATGTCAGTTCTTCTCAAGCTGTCATAATCAGATAGTTAAGCCGCCGTGTCTACCTCCCTGCATGGTGGGTTCGCTGTACTTTATTTGTACAATTGCAGGGCAACGATGGCTTCATTTGACAAGATAAGAGTTACTGTGGGTCCATGGGGCTTCATAATAATGCTCCATGCCTGAACCCAGCTTTTGCAGGGCAGCTGTTCGCGCCCCGGCTCACCCAGTCACCAATGCAGGGTGATGAAATAATGACTGGACGTCAACTGGCTGCCGGATGGGTTCAGTCTGAAGTCTTCCAGACAGGACAGATACATTTCTGGTAGGTTCTGGACTCCGTCAGTGATAATCGAAGAGGAGCAAGGTAATAGTAAGTGTAGGCAACATGTTCACCTAGTGCTGCATGATTAGTGATGTGGAACTAGCACTTATTTTCTCCACTATTTTTGCCGGGATATCCGCTGCAATTGCCGAGTTGCATGGGTAATTTAACTCATGTTGACCATGAACATGAACATGGACAACAACCTGCTGTGGCAAAATCAGGGTGCATATGTCTGCCGCTCTGTTTGTCCGGCCATGGCCTTGTTTGTTGATGGCTCGAACTAATCACACAGAACCACCTTCGGGACCAGTCCGGATCAGCAGTGGAATAGGCGGAGACATCATGGGAACAAGCTTTGGTGTAAAGCCACTGCTTGTTTTTTATCCACAAAGAAGTACACCATCCGCTAGGTCCTAGTTCAACTGGCGAATTGGATGCGCTCAATTTAAATGATATGGTTCGTGTGGATGTTGTATGACTGACGTTATGTCTGGTTAAGCTTTTTCCTTCATGGAAAAGAAGGTTAAGGACGCCACTCGGTGATATGACAATCCATCCGACGCACAAAAGGAAAAAAGAAAAAGCTTAGCTTGACCTAGGGGGTCCAAATCTCATCCATGGTGATCATCACCATAACACAGCTTCAGGAACGCCCCTGACCTTTCAGGATTCTCGCGCATACTTCCAATGCGCCCCTCACTGTCAAACTGACCACTGGCGACAAGGTATAATGGCTCTACGCTAAGAAAGACTTGAGTAATTGTACAAGAAGGTTGGAAGGGGGGCACAAAAACCAGCACAGTTGCGCCCCAGTATCAGCGGACCTCACAGTAGGGCTTCTCTCTGTTGCCTGAACTGGCTCTCCTCATCATCACTGTACGGTAGCTGGCACTGGTCGTCGGATTGTGTCTGAGGAATGTCCCAGTCCACCTGCTTTATTTTCCTTCTCGGCCGCATCACCGCCGTGGTCACCTTCGCGATACTCATACTCAACCCATGCACCGCAACGGAGGCCAACACTGTGAAGCAAACAATAGGCCAAACCAGCTCTAACGCTTGAGGGGCATCATCATCTACGTGGTCGCTCCGCAGCCGTGTCGTCTCAGACGAAAGGCCTGTTTTAATCCTGGCTCTAGCTTCCACAGCCAGGAAGAGAGCACCGACGCCTATAGGGCCGAAATGCCCGGAAAAGAGCGCTTCCTTATAGGTCCAGATATCAGGAATCCACCTCTGCAGCGCAACCACGAAGGGGAGTCGGCGCGATAGTCGGACAATAAGCACAAAGGCGATCATCCTCCACGGTCCTAATCTCGGGTTATTCGTCAGATCAGACCAGGGGACAATCGCACCAAAGTAGGCAAACGTCATCAGGCTTAGGCTGATGTTGACAAAGGCTGCAATGACAGGATCCACACCACTGGCTTCTTCGAGCCGTATCTGATGCGCGTACTTGACGCCTGCACTGAAGACGACGAGGAAGTCGTCCATTCCGAGCGTGCTGGAAAACCCCAGGCAAAAGATGACCAGCGTCAACGGGAATGGAGCGACGAGGTTGTCTGTGATCATTCCGTGCTTGTACAGGAACTGGAGAAGCTTGCTTGCTCCCCAGCCCAGAGTCGTCCCGATAAGCAAACTAGCCAAGCACTGATAGGCGATCGTGACAGTCAAGTATTCTCGTAGGGCCGCACTGGTTGTCTGGTGCTTCAGAATCGAGAGTCCAAGATAGAGAAATGGAAAGGAGGCGCCGATATTTTGCGACACTTACCTTCTGTGACTAAGCTCGTTCTGCTTCTCCTCGCCAGGACAGCGGAGGAAGGAAGCAGATTACTTGTACATGCAGCTTCCGCGGGACCTGCCTCCCACGGGCAGTATCTGAGTGATGCCAAGATCAGCGAACCACCACCACTCCTTCTGACAAAAAGAGGCGTAGTCACACAACGGAAACTGTGGCAAGAGGCGGTAGAGAAATGGGAGGTTATCCAGCCGGGTATAATGGAAAATTTGTCGTAGAGCGATGACCGATCCACCAAGCCAGTGTCTCACTAAAGTATGCGCTCGTTGATCCACCAAAGAACGCTTAGGCCTTCATGCGTCTTTCTTGAGCTTCTTACGCACATCATTGAAAAATGTATGGTGATAATGAATTTTGCTTTGACAGTCTGCTGAGAAGAGAGCCTGCGACTGAATGCAACAATGGAGATGTCCAGTTGAGCTGTGGAGCGACTAGCTCGCTGAACACTAATATTGCTGCGTGGGGAATTACAGAGACAATAGGTGTCTGAGAGTGTAGCAACATCCGCAAGTGCGTGCTGTGACCTTGAATGGAATGGCCAGGACAAGCCAATTGGCTAAACGGAAAGTGAGTATTTGAAGAGATAACAGAAGCTATGTCTGGGAAAGCATTCAGGTTTAAGCTTGCTTCCTATCAGGTTTTTGTTGTATCTGGATGCGGGTATATTGGAAGCTTATCTGGTGGATACTGGATAGATGACACTGTTATTGCTGCATTTGCCTTGCTCCACACGTGTCAGAATTGTCTAGATTTACATTTCCGGAAGGGTTTCCGCCGGCCTTGCAAGAATGCATCCCAAAAGCCAACGACCTTTGATAAGCTATTACTTAAATAACAGAACACTTGTTCCTCACTGTTGGTACTAGAATTCCTAGAAATGCTCTCTTAGTTCATCTTGACCTATCCTTTTGTTTGTTCTATCTGCGTGACTTGACCAATTGATGTTTTCTCCATGGGAAGGCATGTTGACAATGGGATTTGACGACTATGCTGTTGACGAAGAACCATCTCAAAATGTCGACTACCTCTCTAATGAATGGAAATTTGAAGACATCTGGGTGACCAGACGGTATATCCGCAGACGGGAAAGGGACGACAGGAGAAGAACAAGGCTTGAAAACGCGTTATGGAGGTCATGGGCGAAATTAAACCACCAGTTAAATACTATACCAGCTACATTGCTGAACTGGTAAGTGGTGCTTTTTCCCACCTATTTCAATAAAACAAGCCTATTTAAGATACAACAATGCAGACGTCTCACAGCTGCCAGGGAGAAAGATAGTGATGTTACTTGGCTTTACGGTCCATGGAAGGGCCAGATTGGATCTCTGAAATCCTCTCCTCGCAACTCCAAAAATCGGCCGCACACACCAGCTTTCAAAACTAGGATATCCAAAATCTTGCATTCACATCCTTTACATTCTTTTATATGGCTAGATAGGCATCGACAATCTGCGAAACCATATGCAGCGGGGCCTGGCCGACAACCTGCAGCAGTGCATCACTCTGTATATGCCATTTCTCAGGCACACAAGCTAAAGGCAGCCTTCCAATACATGATCGATCTTCCCAGAACAATTGCCAATCCTTTCTTTCCATCCAGCAATCACCAGCATCGGGTCCGTTTCAACGAGGAAGTCCAGCAGTGTGTTGTCAAAGAAACAAGCCTGGTAATTAACCAGTGGTCTGACACAGACAGGGACACCCTGGACAGATTACGGGTAGACAGGACACCGCCCATCGCGGGAGAATACCCTTCCATGACTTGTGCCACAGGGACAGTGCTTGTTTTCAACAAGACAATCGCGCCTTTGCCTTCAACTACGCTTAAGTCGAGTGGGGAGATTGCCGAGATACCTTGGAGTGCGGCAACAAGCTACCTGGAAGAGCTATAATAGATGGTCTGGTCAAACTATCCTAGAGTAAAATCTAAGATTATCTCTCTGTTTCCGCAGGGCTTGTACCGCAATAGCAAATGATGAATTCAAATTCCAAGTGGCAGTAGTATCAGCTTGACACGCATTATCATGATGTGGGTAAACGAATGCGCGGCTGCGGCGGGATATACAGACTCCTGGTATGCTGACATTCTGTACTTATGTTACCTCAAAAATAACAGGCTGAGAGGCTCGTTGATTGCATGTGGCATTGGCATGCCAAATTCTGTTTAGAGTTGTTAAGACGCATTCCGTATCTTAGAGTTGCATAACTGAACTGCGGAAATCAGAACCAACCCATAATGAACTTGTGGTAGTGTGGCTTCGGTGCCTAGCCTAGGGAACCGCGCTGGGTTATGCATGAAGTTTGGTTGATCAGGATAAGCCTGTCTGCGATTGGGAGCTTGGTGGTTTGTTTTCCTTGGATGAGATTTTCGGATCGCTTTGGAGAGGCTGCCTTGTACGTGTATATATTCTACACATGATCACCTTAGGGCATCGTGGAGTGGATCCAGCGCGGGCCCCGGAACCCGGTGCGAGCTGAAATAGGTGTCGGCCCAGGCGAAGTATTGTCCATAGTTGACGGTGAAGTACATATGGTGTAATGGGTGGTGCGCGGGGCTGTTGATGGATTTCTCCGTCCAATGGCCCAAAATCATGTTGTCGTCGTGAATTAGGATGGTCCAGACCTGGACTGCAAGGAAGAGAACGATGTACAGATATCACTGCATGAGGCAAATGAGGGATGAAGACGCTTTAGAGAGTTAGAAAGGATGGCCATGGAGGATCGCCGCAACAGGGGACTGGGATACTCACTGGTATAGCAGAGACTGCACACAAGGGTACTTGGATCGCAATGACTGGTTGAATCTATGATAATTTTGATAGATTATGCAACAGCCCTCGACTAACTTCAACTCATGATAACTTGGAGTGATCTGTAATCCGGTAGACTTCCTAACCCACACTAATAAATCAGGCTAAATTAAAACAGCATTTAATCACGGCATGTTCTCAATAGCGATAAATTGCTCCTATGACGAGTTCTTTGCCTGTGCTCCATCAGCTAACACTAGTCTCTTGAATTGTAGCTTCTTACATTCCAGCACATACGACCACAGGGTGTGGAAAACAGGGCTTCCCGTCCGCTCAGCCGTACTTAAGCCACACGCCGGCCGGTTAGTAGTTGGGTGGGTGACCACCAGCGAATCCCCGCTGTTGTATGTTGGATTCCATCCAATCTTTTTGATTCGTTGGGTTTAGCGCCCTCGCCGCTTTTCTTCACCCTGTTCACCCCTCTTCACCTGAAGCTGACCTGAACCGCCGGAACCTGAATATTCTTCACTCAGTCACCCCGCACAATCCCTGCTTGGCTGACGTGCCCTCTTCCAGCGTTCCCTATGTTTGTCACGTGCCATTGATCACTTTCGGAGCATACGGACTCTCCTAGCCGTCTGCCCTGGGGTTCGACCTCGCTTAGTCATCAATCATGGAAGCTAGTTTCATAGATAGTTTGGCAGTCTCGGCCATCTAAGATAACCAAGCATCCATCGCTTCCACATTCATATCACTTCATGAAAAGCAAAAACGGAAGCGTACAGCCCCAAGATCTTTTATTGCTACTGGGGGTGTTCTGACAGGATCCGAAGGTCAGCAACTTGCTCAAGAAGCCATGCAGGCAATGGACTTGGTGGAATCAGTTCCCAGAAAGCGTGCGCCACCACGATGCAGTAACTGCCATCAAATTGGTCTCACCTAGTTCTGTAATGAACGTCCGGACTAGACTCAAATCTCTCTGAGCACGATTAAGGACACCTTCTGCGGTTTCGATGCGACTGTCGTCGGAGCCTATAAGTCTCTCTTGTGGGATAAAAGAGAAGTTCACTTGGGCAAACTCCGCAGTTTCCCAATCTATTTTGCTGAGTGCTCAGCGTCGTTCAAGGAAATGGGAGGCGCCATAGGCTAGTGCAATAAAAAGCAAACTACCTATCGATATGCAAGCCAATGATCTCCACTGAAAGTCCCATCCACATCAGTAGACCAGCCCCACTTCGCTCTTCTATCCAAAGACCTCCTCGTGTAATAAGTACCTGATCGGCACGGAAGCGGATGTCAAGAGCAGGGATTCCACTCTCACGTAGCTCTTGTTCAGACTCAATCGTGTGGGACCTAGGATAAACTCTGAACAAACCATGCTCAGGCCCAACACCATTTCGAATGGGTCTCCATATGGAGATGCCATCACGACCGAATGGCACACGATCTTGACCATGGTTGGAGAACCATGAAATATCTTACAACTACGCAATAAAATGAAAGCCTTTTCTCAAACATAAAAGATTGTATTATCTACTAGGGCAGCTGGTTCTAATATGACCAATTTGATGGCAGTTACTGCATCGTGGTGGCGCACGCTTTCTAGGAATCGGATCCTCTAAGCCCATTCTCTGTATTGCTTCTTGAGCAAGTTGTTGACCGTCAGACCCTGTCAGAACGCCCCCAGTAGCAATAAAAAATCTGGGGGCTGTACGCTTCCGCTTTTGCTTTTCATAAAGGATGGTTGATGCTCTGGGCATTCTAAGTGCCTACTCTTTTATCACCATACAGCCTGGGAATCGCTCTATAACCCTACATCGCCTGGTCCACCTGGCAACCCGAAATTGGATAAAGAAGGAAAAGCAGTTTTCACTCTACATAAGAAAAGCAGCAGACCGATTGAGTGAGACCTTCCCTGATAATGACTATACCAACCGACAGCTTTGGAGGGAATACTTGCCCCACGCCTTATTTTTATTGGGTGAGAATGAGTTTAAAAAACAACAAGAGCAGTATATCGACTTCATACGGAAAGTAGGAACCTGCTTGGATAGTGATGGGAGGTACAATGAAGCAGAAAAACTGTTAGTGCAGGCAATGGAGACCTTGAAACAAGTGCTAGGGCCAGAGCATCCTTCTACTCTGACCAGCATGGACAACCTTGCATCAACATACTGGAACCAAGGACGATGGAGGGAAGCAGAGGAGCTACAGATACAGGTTGTGGAGACATCAAAACAGGTACTGGGGCTAGAACATCCCTCTACTCTGACCAGCATGGATAACCTTGCCTTAACAAACCGGAATCAAGGGCAATGGAAGGAAGCAGAAGAATTGCAAGTGCAAGTACTGGAGATACGCAAACAGGTGCTGGGCCAGGACCACCCAGACACTTTGAAGAGTATGGATAGCTTGGCATCCACAGTTCTACGCCAGGGACGGGTTGATGAGGCAGAAAAGCTGCTGGTACATGTGGTAGATGCTCAAGAGCAGGTGCTGGGCCCAGCACACCCGGGCACTCTAGCGAGCAAGGGTGAGCTAGCATCCGCGTATATGCGCCAGGGACGGCTTGATGAGGCAGAAAGGATGTTGATACATGTATCAGAGGCGCGTAAGCGAGCGAGCGGACCTGATCACTCTCAAATGCAAACCCCTCCAGCCGGAGCAGCATCTATGTCTGAAAACCAGGAATCGTCAACGCGACAGGCAGAGTCTACCTTTGGAGGTACGACTCTGGTGGAGACTCAAGATGAACTTACGCTTGAAATAGAGCTATCACTTCCGTTGGATCAACGCGCCTCAGATGCAATTGAAGATGAAGACTGCATATCCGTGGAATCAAATGACGATGATATCGCCTCGCAAACTGCGACGAAAAGAACCGAGCCAGAGATCTTAGCTGCCCGATATTTCGGATTATTTTTGGCAGTTAGAAGAGTTACGCCCATTGCATGAAAAAGCCCTCAAGAAATTAGGAGTGAACCGCTTTCGGGAGAATTACCGCAGAATCCTCAAGTTCTATGTCTTGAAACTGCGCAATGAAGCGTGCAGTGCTGTTGAAAAAGACATCGTTAGGGTACTAAAATCTCGCTTGAACCGTATCAGCATAGCGGAGCGGATATTGTCTCTTATTCAAGAGGAGAAAGAGAATAGCGCAAAGCCGTTGGATGAGTTGATTTCTCAGCCGGTCGAAACACAATCACTTGAAGCCTGGGCAAGCAATGCATACGGACAGCCAACTACAGATACTACATTCAACACTGAATTCGAAGGTTATGAGCATCCTAGTGACGAAGACGACAACGAAGACACTGAAGATAGTGACCGTCTTGAAGAGTTACAGTTTCCTAACTTGACCCATGCCGACAGTTTCTTGCGTCGAAGTTTACCATTTCAAACCCTGGTTCTCGAACTTAGGCTATTAGTTCTACCGGCATCATTGAGGGAAATTTTGGAGTCCATTCCAAAATGTTCAATCCACATCTCTCATACAGATGACACGTCACTTACGAACGTAGCTAAGGCGTCAATTGAGGATTACACTGGCTTCGAGTGGGATTGGTGGCCTCTGATGCCTCGAGTACCCAAATTATCAAAAGGTAGACTGCGACTTCAATGGACAGTGAGTAAATGCCTCAATTAATCATGGCGTTAAGTCGGGTTCCTGACGGTTTATAGTTTTGTGGACAAACGCTGTACAGAGAAATAACCCAAGAAGATGCCGATTCCATACGGTGTATTCTAGAAAACATTGACGACCACCCATCCAAATGCTTTTGTTGTGAGACAGAAGCTCATTGTGTAAATTGGACAACCTCGGTTTTTCATCGGGGATGGCGTTATGTTCTGGGCATATTGAATTGGAAAGTCCGAAGACGTGCGTCAGCTGGAACCTCGCCATCTGTCGCACATCAACGCTATACCCCAGGAAATGCAGTACCTCTCAGTTCATCCTCAGTCAGTGCGTCTAGTTCAAAAGTCACACCAAGTTCACCAAATCTTTCTGGGCCTGGCAATCCAAATATTCAAGAGCACGGTGGAGGGTCAAGTAATACCTGCACCACTCGGCACGGAGATCCTTACTGGGTGGTCTTCGGTATCAAATATATGGACGGCTTCGATGAGATCGAGAATATTGAGATATTCAATAATATCAGCGACTCATTTTTCTTCAGAGAATTGAAGCTGAGATATGCCAAGCACCGATGCTTTTTCCAACGCTGGTTCTCTCCATTCCGTTTTCGTTATTGCAAGTTTGTCCAGGTAGCGCTTCCCTCCAACAAATCTAGATTTTGCTAACTTTACTAGTTTGAAATAATCAATTCTGACCAAGTTTACTGCAGCGGTGAAGCTCTACCCGATGACCATGGTTATACCAGTCATTATGAGTACAGCCCTAGACCTCCGGGAGCGAAGAATCCACTAATTAAGCGAGATCTTTTTTCTATCTTACTTAAAGCATGTGACCCTGCGTGTCCGTGGGCTGGTCTTCCATTCTTCTTACACAAGTGTCATCCGCTTCCGCCAAATTACCATCGATGGCAGCGTATCCCAAGGAAGAGGGGTGACTCATTCGACACAAGACTTAGCCAACCTGGGGAAATCGCGTTTGGACTGGAAGCTGACTATGCACTATCCTTCGCAATCCTCTTTGTTTATCACGCCCTTCTCTTATCTTTGGCATTCGGGTTCTGGGTCTACTGGCTGAACAAGCATCCGAACGATCTGCAAAATGCTTCGGTTCCAAGCTTTACTGTTCTAGCACTTATTGGGGCATTCTGGGGTCTTGTTGGACGACGAATTGGTGTTCATTGACACCCTCACCGCACTCATCGCTATAATGATAGACGTATCATCTCATCTAGTATATGGCGCATGTAATACTTTTTTATACTTCGCATCATTAGTCCTCTTTTGATCCAGCTCCAAACAAAACGGATCCATGTCATAACGGAGTTAATCTTGCACCTGTTAATGGCAATAACGGCTTAGTAGTATTTTCTTATCATAGGCTGTGAAATTAATCAGCTAAACTTGTATGTAACGGACAAAAGGATTGAACTGCTAGGATGAGTAAGTCGGTGCCTGCCAAGATGTCTTATTTGCATACTAACTAGTGCTCTTGGCTTAGGGTCTGGAACTAGTTTTGAAGAGTCCAGTGTAGGCAGAGCGGTTGTGCAAGGCTATGTACTGTAAGATTAGGAAGTAAGGCTGTTTAAATTACAAAGCGTATCCAACAGTGCCAAGAAGCCTTAGTTATTTACAAGCCAACTAACTGTATACGGGCTAGTGCCAGTAAGTTAGGGTTTGGGAAAGAGTCTAGATGAGTCTGGGGTAGGCAGGGTGGTTGTGCAAGCCACTGTATAAAGGCGAACCAGACTTGACTCAAAAGACGACCGCAACAGACAGAGAATCGCACGATTTGAGGTTGCATATCGATATTTGTGGTTGTGGTTGAGGTTGTGTACCGAGCGGAAGCTAAGGACGGCCCGATGGCGGTTCCGCCCGAGGGGATTCCCGACCCCGAACCCACAAACACGCAAGGGACAGCAATTTTCTCGCTAGAAAATTTCCAACTCTCTCTTCCCCCCAGTCAGTCGACTCGCCGCAGAAAGCGACCAAGAAATAGCTCTGAACCACAGGCGACCCCAGTCACGAACCCCGAGTTCGCTTCCTCCGGGGACAGCAGCGGAAGGGTCACGAACCAGGAACTTCGGAAGCTGATCGACAGCTTCAAGGAAATCATCACCCACCAGACCAATGTCATCGAGATTCAAGAGATCAGAACCGAAGAGCAGACGTTGCAAGAGCAAAATAAAAGACTACAGGAAGAAATTCAAGCCCTCCAGGCGCGGATCGATGCCCAGACAAACGACCCCCAAACTAGGACATGGGCGCAAATTACAGCCAGCGCACCCGCGCTAGGCCCCAAACAAAGAATCCCACAGCCCTGAAAGGAACTAAACTGCGTCCGAATCAGCACTGCACGACCTGCCAATGATAACGACAACAAAAACTACAACATCTTCACAAGATATCTACCCACAGATGCCACTAACGCCCACATCAGATCCGCCCTACTGAACGCAGAATCCACCAAGGATGTCCAGGTGGCGGGTATTGGCACCACAAAGACGGGATATGTGATCAGGTTCAGGGATGCTCAGTCAGCTGAGACGGCCCGGAGTAACCCTGAGTGGCTAGAGGAGCTAGGTAACAACACTAAGCTGGTGAAGCCTCGGTTTGGCATCGTTGTCCACCGCGTCCCAACAGAAGACTTCGACCTAGACAGATATAAGAAACAGGGAGTAGAGAAGATCCTTGAGGAGAATGACCTGACTGACAAAGGGTTCCAAATTAAAGACATTACGTGGCTGAAGAAGAAAGACAGGCCGCTGGGGAGGTCTGCATCCATGGGCATCTGGCTGAACACGCCAGAGGCAGCAGAATCAATTATCAACAATGGACTCCTGGTGGGACAGAGATATATTGGGAGTGTGGAACCCTATCAGGTTGAACAGAAGAGGTGCCGCCGCTGCCAGCGATTTGGCCATTTAGCTTGGTCGTGCAAGGAACAAGTAAGATGTGGGCACTGCGCTGGTCAACACGACCAACACCACTGCCCCCCTGGGGTGAGACCCAGGTGCTCAGACTGCAACGGAGAACATCCCACTGGAGACCGGAGGTGCCAGGCACCTCTTAACCCCAAGGCCTCCCAATGACATCTTCAAACCTTCGTCTACTACAGTTGAACATCATGAAATCCAGGGCGGGAATGGAAGCCCTTATCAACGACCCCCAGACCCAGAACCTTGATGTATTATTAATCCAGGAACCACCAATCACTGCATATCGCACACATGTGAACCACAGCGCATGGCGACTGTACCGCCCCACATATGCTAACGAATCAGCCAGATGCCCACAGCCTCCTCTATGTGAATCAGAGGATCTCAACCTCATCACATCGGCAGATACACTGCAACCAGCCTGATATCACTGCAGTCAAGATATGGACCACTGAAATGCAATATCTCCTCTTCTCGGTGTACATCCCACCAGCGGCAATATATCAGCCGCCAGATGCAACCACCGCCCAACTGGTACTAAAAGAAATTCAAGCCAGCATCCAGCAGCAAGCCACAGGAATAGACAAGGTGACCAAACTCATTATTGCTGGAGACTTCAACCGCCATCACCCAGCATGGAGCCATCGCCCTGTCCACCATATCTTTACAGAACACGCAGAAGAGCTAATCAACTTCTTCCAAGCACAAGGGCTCCGATGGTGCCTGCCCCGAGGCACACCCACTTTTTGGTCGCTGAGCGACCCTGGAAAAACATCTATCCTAGACCTCACGCTAACTAACGACCGGACGAGGCTCATCAAATGCCAACTCTACCACGACCATTATGGATCGGATTACCGCGGAACGTACTCAGAATGGAACTTACAGCCGAAACGCAACATAGGCCCAAAGCCAAAGAGGGCATATGATCAAGCCGACTGGGTCAAGATTGGACAGAGCATAGTGGAACTTATGGGCCCACAACCCAGGATCTACTCAAACGCAGACCTAGACTATACAGTTGAGAAACTTGTCAAATCAACAATTACAGTCCTTGATCAACAGGTGCCAACACAGAAGCCATCACCATATTTGAAACAATGGTTCACCCCAGAGCTCAAAACACAGCAGGTTAGAGTAAACCAGGCGCGCAGGCAATGGCAGGAGAGTTGCGCCACCCAATAACCATAGCTCTCTTCCAAGTCATGCGCCGGACGCGCCGGGAATGGACCAGGGCCATTGAAAAGGCAAAGACCACACACTGGAAAGAGTTCCTAGACAAAGCCAGGGAAGGCCACCTCTGGAAAGCGGCGACATATATGCAGCCGCGAGATGCATACACGGGCATCCCTGCACTGAAGGTGGGCTCAGAGGAGATTACTAATA